AACACAATATTTCAGTGGATTTAAGACTTTTCAAGGCCTAAAAGTAGATTTTTGAAATTTAAGAAATGTTAAGACTTTTTAAGACGCCGCAGAATCCCTGTACTGTATTTAGAGAATTACATAATTGCAAACTTTATATTATAAGAGTGTTTCCTGAACAGCTTTAACAATGGAAATAACTATCACTACTACACTACCTGACAAAAGTCTTGTTGTCGATCCTTGTTGTAAGAGCAACAAATAATAACTTGACTTCTAGTTGATCATTTGGAAAAGTGGCAGAAGGTAGAGTTTTCTGATGAATCATCTGTTGAACTGCATCCTAATCATCACAAATACTGCAGAAGACCTATTAGAACTTGGATGGACCCAAGATTCTCACAGAATCAGTCAAGTTTGGTGAAGGAAAAATCATGGTTTGGGGTTACATTCAGTATGGGGGCATGCGAGAGATCTGCAAAGTGAATGGCAACATTAATAGTCTGAGGTATCAAGTCATTTGTGCTGCCCATTACATTGCAAACCACAAACAAGGCAAACTTTTCAGCAGGATAGCGCTCCTTCTTCAGCCCCCACATCAAAGTTCCTGAAAGCAAAGAAGGTCAAGGTGCTCCTGGATTGGCCAGCCCAGTCACCACACTTGAATATTATTGGGCATGTCTGGGGTAAGATGAAGGAGGAGGTTTTGAAGATGAATCCAAAGGATCTTGATGAACTCTGGGAGTCCTGCAAGAATGCTTTCTTTACTATTTCAGATGACTTTATTAATTATTTTTATTTTTTATTTTTATTAAAGTTATTTGAGTCATTGCAGAGATGTATGGATGCAGTCCTCCAAGCTCATTGGAGTCATACACAATATTCATTCAGTTTCCACTGCAGCATGATTTTATATTGTATCCTGTACATTATTTCTGTTAAGTGACAAGACTTTTGTCTAAGCAAAGTCAGACCTTACTGTCCAAAGTAAAAATCAAGGCATGATCATATTTTATTTTGGGAAAATAAACGTAATTTAGAGGCCTTTGCCTTTCATAAAAGCCACTTCTGATACCAAATGACCAACTAGAAGTCAAGTTATTATTTGTTGTTCCTAAAACCTGGATAAGCGAGACTTTTGTCAGGTAATGTATATAAATAAACACTTTGGTTGACAAATGGCCTAAATGATCAAACTATCCTAATGAATAATAATGTCTCATAATTTAGACACCCTCATCTTACTCTTAAATCTGTAGGACTTTCTCGCGACTGTGTTATTTTATATGATTTGAGTTAAGTTTTAGTAAAATGTCTGTCATTTTAATTAGTTATTGTTTTAATTTTTAATTATTAAAATTAATCAAATGTTTATTGTTATACTTTTTTCACATTAGTTTCATTGTTTTTAAATATTTAATTTCATTTCATTCATTCATTAATTTTCTTTTTAGCTAAGTCCCTTTATTAATCTGGGGTCGCCACAGCGGAATAAACTGCCAACTTATCCAGCATTTGTTTTACACAGCGGACGCTCTTCCAGCTGCAACTGGGAAACATCCATAAACACTCATTCACACACACTCATACACTACGGCCAAATTTAGCTTACCCAATTCACCTGTAGCATATGTTTTTGAACTTGTGAGGGAAACTAACCACCCGGAGGAAACCCACACGAACAAGGTTGAGAACATGCAAACTCCACACAGAAATGCCAACTGACCCAGCCGGGGCTCGAAACAGCGGCCTTCTTCCTGTGAGGCAATTGTGCTACCCACTGCGCCACCGTGCTGCCCTAATTTAATTTAATTTCAATTATAACTAAATTTATTCCATGCAACAACTAAATGTTTTCAATGTTTTGTCTGTAACTCAAAAATTTACGGTTATTTGGTGTTTTTATGTTGTCTTTTAAACAGCTTGACACTTTTTATTTATTGAATTATTAATGAATTATTATTGATTTGTTTTCCATTTGTGTTCCACTCATAGATGAAAAGTATACAGGTCTGGAATGAGATAAGGGTAACCAAACCATCACATATTTTTCAATCAACAGATGAACAATCCTTGTCAGAGCTTTTAAAATAGTGACTTTTCTTTCTGAACCATATTTGTAATGGATACAGCAATTTCTCTTTTCAGCTTATGCTAAAATGATTAAACAAAAGCTTTTTTTTTTTTTTTTGGAGCTTCATATGGTTATAGTTGAACCACTGAAGTGACGTGCAATGTTTTTGGTCCCTTTTTTGCACTTTCTGAACAACATTTGCAAAGGATACAGTGATTTTTCACTGATGACACTTCCTTAAAATGACAGAAAGGTTCTGGAAACATACGACTGCCTCCATGACAAACAAATCCTGCTCAGTTCATTCCAGCAATATATTGCACCGAAACACGTCAAGGAAAGAAGAGACTCGATGATTTCAATTTTTTTATGCTCTTAAACCCCGGGTCTCCCTTCACCATCTGAGTGTCTTCACTCCATCTCTTCATTCCTAGAATTGGATTGAAACAGCAATGTACACTGTGACACACAAATATGAGGTAAATGCTGCATTACAGGAAGTTACATCATACTTTCATCAACCAATGGGTGGGGGTGATGTCGTTTATAACAGTGAACACATATATTGGGTCTCTGTAGAGTCACAATGAACCCGAATAACATACAGTAATAAAAATGATGAAATGAAACAAAACAGCAACAACAACAGAAAGCAAATGAGCCCAGTTCATCAATAAAAAGTAGCTTAGTGGTGACAAAAACACAGCAGTTACAACACTGAGAAGTCCATGTTTGGCATAATTCAACATAAAAAGGCTGATTATATAAAAAACGAACCCTTTTAAACTGTACAAAGCATATACTGTATACAACGACCCAATAATGTTTGGACGTGTGTCAGTTTGAATGTTAAAATGATTTTGTAATACACATCTGCAATAAATACAGACAAAAATACCATATATATATATATATATATATATATATATATATATATATATATATATATATATATATGTGTGTGTGTGTGTGTGTGTGTGTGTGTGTGTGTGTGTGTGTGTGTGTTTTCTCTTTTACTTCAGGTCGTCAGGGTCCATCCAAAGACAATAGAATACACAAGACATGTCACTTGCATTGTTTTGAATGGTGATGAATGTAATGCTCAATATGGCGAATGAAGCCCTGCTTTCTAGTACAGGATCCACTCATTGATCACTAAAGACTGACGATTCCCGTGAAGGGGCTTGGACCAGACGTGTGATTCTGCAGATTTTGTGAGATTCGAACGCTTAGAAATCAAACTAAAGAGACAGATGTTTAATTTTATTGGTGATTCCTAATTTGAAGTTTAATCATAAGCTTGGCAAGCAATTTTGGAGAATTTGATGTTTCCCATTTAAACAGAACACCCAAGCATACTCTCCCAGAGGCGTTTCAAAGATGGTCGCGAGTGAAACGACTTGCCTTAAAAGGACTTTGGTTTAGTATAGTATGGCCAATGCAAAATATTTTCATCTGGACCTAACACAGCTGAAGAGAAGACATTGGGGTTTACGGTTTTTTTTTTTTACATTTGTTTTTTTAAACAAAAGCTTTGTTTGGAGCTTCATATGGTTACTGTTGAACTATTAAAGGGGCGGTCCAGAATGTAATTTTAAGGCTTGGCTGTGTTTATAAGATGCAAAGCAATGTGTGCTTATGTTTCACTTGAAGGAAATCATGTTATTTTTCTATAAATCTCACTTTGATTATATACAGCTACTCAGCTAACATGAAAACGACTGATATATTTTCTAGTTCCTCTGAAAGGCCCACCCTCAAGTGACTCTGATTGGTCATCGTCATAATAAGCTGCGATTCGCGAATCAGCTCCACATCACGCCCGTACAAGCACACAAGTTTCTGTTGTGTAAACAGTCAGTCAACCTCCTGCCTGCTCTCTAAAATAAAATCTGACAAGTGTCTGTAACGAGTGAAAATGGGGTGCGGCTCCTTTAAAAGAGATTCATATAGCCGTATATATGGCTATTACACGATCATAATACACTGTGATATAGCCTGGGTCGTTAGTTCATTGCATTGTTTTCTCACTACAATCAATCCGCTCCATAGGGCAGAGACAGTCTCATTCAGGAGATCTTGGACTGATTGATTTGGCGCGGATGCGAGCGCAACTGCTGGATATATGCCAAACAAACCATGCTAACGGGGGAAAGGAGACAGATTCCGAAACAAACGTCTATGTGCAAAAGCACCGTAAGATTGTATTTGCACACAACTGACAGACAGTCGCAGCACGCAGCTCTGGCTCGATCTGTCAGGCATCAAGGCAGCACTGTACACTGACCCGAGCGTCTCGCACGCTGGCCCCGGGCTATCGGGCAGTCCTTATTGTCGAGCCCTGAAGGTTTAAGCTCTGTTGATGGGTCTCCTGCGTCTGCACAGTTCAACGAGCACTTTAACAAGCGTGTTTTTTCCCGCTTGGCAAGCCAAGCTGACGTGACATGGGGGCGTGGCAGCATCGACGATTCTATTTTTTGATTCGATAATCGAAATGGAGGATAAATTTCAATCGATTTCTGTTTAATGTTAATGTTAAGCTTATTAATTCTGATATTGTAGTTAATACTTAACAAGTATTCGTCACGACTTAACAAGCAAACTAATAAGCAGTTGCTATTCAAGCCTTCAGGTTGATGTCAACAGAAGGACGGACACTTCAAATGCGGAAGCAAATGCTCAGGTTTTGATTGAAGATTACCAACACAGACGGCTTTCTTTCAGTGGATTAACTTGCACGGATAAATTATTCACCTCAAGAATAACAATGTGAGCTAGCAAAATAAGTAAGTTTTCATTTCAAGCACACTATCCCTTAAAATGTCCAAATACCTTTCACGGCCACTATTTATATAGAGAATTGCATAAGGGAACGCAAGGAAATACACAGTGAGTGCGCTCACGTGAGAATCGCCCTTTCTCCAGGCTGCTTTTTTTCTCAAATTACCTGTCAATAATTCCTTTAATTTGGTTGTCTTTCTCCATCTGCTGCTGTCGGAGTCTCCTCTCGCTGTCGTCCAGTCGGCTCTGATACTGCAGCAGGATTTTATTGGTCTGCTGCTCCTGAGTTAACAGCCTCCTCTCGTACTCTTCCAACTTGCGGTGGGACATCATCAGACGCTCCTTCAGTGAGTGGATCTCCTCCTCATACTCGCGCACCTGCGGCCGGAAGAGAGAAAAAGACGACAGACTTTCAGCAGAGCAGATGCTACGGTAACACTTTACAATAAGGTTGTTTTAGTTAATGCATTTGCTAACATGAATAAACAATAAGCAATACATTATTACAGTATTTATTCATGTTAGTTTACATTAGTTAATGAAGAATTCATGTTAACTCACGATGCATTAACTAATGTTAGCAAGCATGAATTTGCATTTTAATAAGGCATTTGCAAATGTTGAACTATGATTCATAAATACTCTACAACTTTTGTCCATACTTAGTTCAAGTTAGTAAAAACATTAACTAAAGTAACCTTATTGTAAAGTGTAACTGATACTGCACTACCTGACAAGTCTTATGGTCTATCCAAGTTTAGGAACAACAAATAATAACTTGACTTCTAGTTGATCATTTGGTATCAGAAGTGGCCTATATGAAAGGCAAAGGCCTCTAGATTACGCTTATTTTCCCAAAATAAAATATGATCATGCCTTGATTTTTAATGATTTAATTAGGACAGTAAGATCTGACTTTGCTTAATCAAAAGTCTTGTCACTTAACAGAAATAATGTACAGTATAGAATATAAAGTCATGCTGCAGTGGAAACAGAATGAATATTGTGTACGACTCCCATGAGCTTCCATACATCTCTGCAAGACTCAAATAACTTATTAATAAAGTCATCTGGAATGGTAAAGAAAGCCTTCTTGCAGGACTCTCAGAGTTCATCAACATTCTCTGGATTCACCTTCAATGCCTCCTCCTTCATCTTACCCCAAACATACTCAATAATGTTCATGTCTGGTGAATGGGCTGGCCAATCTTGGAGCACCCTGACCTTCTTTGCTTTCAGGAACTTTGATGTGGAGGCTGAGGTATGAGAAGGAGCGCTATCCTGATGAAAAATTTGACCTCTCTTGTGGTTTGTAATGTAATGGGCAGTGTCTTGATACTTCAGGCTGTTGATGTTGCCATCCACTTTGCAGATCTCTGAATGTAACCCCAAACCATAATTTTTCCTTTACCAAACTTGACTGATTTCTGTAAGAATCTTGAGTCCAATAGGTTATCTGGAGTATTTGTGATGACTGGGGTGCAGTACAACAGAAATTCATCAGAAAAATGAGCCTTCTGCCACTTTTCCAAATAATCATCTAGAAGTCAAGTTATTATGTGTTGCTCTTACAACTGGGATTGATGACAAGACTTTTGTCAGGCAGTGTATTGACCTTGAGACTTCTGCTGTCATTCACTTTCATTGATATTTAGATGTTAAAAACAGCTCATTATGCTGCTTGATGACATTTTTTCATGATATTATTTTCCTTTCTATGTATAGTCATGAACACACTTCTGTTTGTAGAGCAAGTAGTTGACCGTTTTCTGCAGTTTATTATTCCTAGTCATTTCTCCCATACGCAACTGAATGGAAACTTCTAAAACAATCGATAAGTCAATACTCTCGTCTTTATGCTTTTACTGAGACATTCTGGTGATTAAGCAACTCAGAGTGAATTATTAAAAAAGACATTTAATTAAAATAGTACAAAGAATAATGACGAAAACAATGTTATCACAGCTTATGCGATCCTTTTAAGCATTGCTGAGTGACTAACTAAAAGTAAATAATACATAATTATACATAAATAATTTTAACAAAATAAAAGGTTAAAGCTTTAAAGGTATTCAAGTATAAAATGAATCATTTGTGAAAAATATAATTAACATGATGGTATCCACCAAATAGTTATATATAGTTATAATAGTATATATATACACACACACACACACACACACACACATATATATATATATATATATATATATATATATATATATATATATATATATATATATATATATATATAAAATTAGGTGACACGGTGGCGCAGTAGGTAGTGCTGTCGCCTCACAGCAAGAAGATTGATTAATAGATTAATAAAGTGACTAAGCTGAAAAAAATAAATGAAGAAATGAATAGATGAATAAAATAATTTTAAATAATGGCACATGGAATATGTGATCAAAGTAGACAATAGTTTTGAGAGAATAATTTAAAACTACTTGTAGTGTTCAGTGCTGCTGTAAGAATATTTTAAAAACAGATTTTTTAAATAAAATATTATATAGAAATATAATATATTAAAAGAATTTAATTAAATTAAAGTTAAAAATAACAACATTTTCTAAATAACAGTAAAAATGAAACCATTTAACTTACAATAATTTATACAAATACAAAGATATTAATAATTAAATTACTTTAAAAACACTTCCAAATTATTTAAAAACCTAAAGAAAACAAGTCAAATGCAATTATGAGATGAGTTTTTCACATAGTAATGCACTAAATGTGTAGTGTAGTGACTAATCAAAATATGAAAAAGTATTAATAAAATAAAGTATTAAATCAGCAGTATAAGTATTTAGTGTAGCAGTGGGTGGCACTCTTGCCTCACAGCAAGAAGGTCGCTGGTTCAAGCCTCAGCTGGGTCAGTTGGCATTTCTATGTGGAGTTTGCATGTTCTTCCCATCTTGACATGGGTTTCCTTCGGGTGCTCCAGTTTTCCCCACAAAGACAGTGGTACAGGTGAATTGGGTAAGCTAAATTGTTTGTGTGTGAATTTAAGTGTACAGGTGTTTCCCAGTGATGAGTAGCAGTTGGAAGGGCATCCGCTGCATAAAACATATGCTGGATAAGTTGGCGGTTCTTTCCGCTGTGGCAACCCCAGATTAGTAAAGGGACTAAGCCGAAAAGAAAATGAATGAATAAATTGAAGAAATGAAAAGATAATTACCAAAAAAATTATGAAAAGTAAAAAAATAATCATGTTTTAATTTAAAGTAAAATAATTAATTAACACAATATTGTCCATTAAAATTACATTCATGAAAAGTAAAAACTAATGTTTTAAAGTAAAAAAAAAAGTACTTTAAAATAGTTACAAATTTTAAATAAAAATATTATCTATTAAAATACTTTGACAACATTGAAAATATGATTCTAAATATAATTAAAATATGCAAAAAACGAGAAATGAGGACAATAGATGTCAAAACAATTCCTGTGCGCATATACAGTATACACACACTGTATACAGTACATACACTAAAAATGCTGGCTTCCACACAATTCCTTCCTATCCCAACACAAATCAATTAGGTTAACGTAATACTTTGTACAAATTGGAGTGGATTAAGCATAAATCAATTAAGTTGTCCCCCAAAAAACTTGAGAATTGTGAGGTTTCAACTCATTTTAAATAAATAGTTTAAACAAGCAGCAAGTTTTTTTTTTTTTTTTTTTTGCAAATCAGTGTGTCTTCTCCAGTAATTAGTGATTTTTTTGACTTTGTACAAAATTGCTTAACTTTATATCTCCATAATGTTTTCCCCCAAGAACTGTGTCAATCATACATAAAAACATTTCCTACTCTACTGTAGCTGTCAATGCAAATGAACAAACTGTCCTCGCAAACCACATGGGAATGACATAATGTACCAAAAGCTGCTGAATTATAGCTGATTTTAATGGCAGATTTTTGAAACCGAGTCTGTCCATTAATAGACACCCAGAAAAAAAAATGTGCCACACAAACTTCCAGACGGTGAAACAGAGGGTCAAGATCAGCCAGTACGCTCTGACAGAAAGCCCCTGCTGCTCCTCAAGTCTGTTTCCCGCATACGGCTCTTCATTCTCATTTGATATTTAAATAATGCATAAATGAGGCACCATCTGTCGGAGAGGTGAAAGACTTCAGATGCATTTCATTGACACACGAGTGTAAGGCACAACTGCACACTGTCGACTCAGTGTCTTTTTGCTGCGTTTACACGAGGACAGAGGAGGAATCCAGTAAACAAACTGTCTGAAATTCACCCCAAAGTGATTCTAATTCAAAGCTCACCACGTTCAGTCCTCTAATGCTCGAACCATATGTGTTATACAGTTGAAGTCACAATTATTAGCCCTCCTGTGAATTTTCTTTTTAAATATTTCTCAAACAATGATTAATGGAGCAAGGAATTTTTCACAGTATTTCCTAAAATATTTTTTCTTCTAAAAAGTCTTTTTTTCGGCTAGAATGACACTTTTAAAAATAATTTTAAGGTCAATATTATAATAATAGTTCCTTACATTTATACAGCGCTTTTCTGGACACTCAAAAGTGCTGTAAACAATTTTTTTTCCCTCATCCACTACCAGTGTGCAGCATCCACCTGGATGTCACGACGACAGCCATATTGCGGCACACCACACACTAGGTAATTGGTGGAGAGGAGACATGAAGCCAACTATGATATGGGGATGGTTAGAATGTCATGATGGACAGAGGCTAGAGGGCAAATTTGGCCAGAATGCCAGGGTTAAACCCCTACTCTTTTTTGAAGAACATCCTGGGATTTTTAACGACTACAGAGAGTGTCAGGACCTCACCCACATAGCAAAATTTCTCTGGCCCAGCTCTGGCCCACACAACCAGGTTTTGCTTGGCCCACATGCCGCAGTGAATTACGGTACATGACTGGACCAAATCTGGCTTCCAGACAAGGGCCAAACACAGACCATATCTGGGCCAAGTCTCAGCCAAGTTAATAACTCATTACTGGGCCTGAACTGGGCCAGATAGGTTGGTGTGTCACGATTGCAATGAAATTGATAAACCCATGGAGTGATGCGCTTTAGGCACACTATGGGCACGCTTTTTCTCAAAGTGACCTGATTGGTAGAATTTTTTTTCTTTACTCAAAAATGATTTTAGTGTATTTTAAATGTGGGTCAAGACTGGCCAAGCTCAAATAGCCCACTTATCACATTTTTAAATCTGGGCCAAATACTACGTTTTTCATCTGGCCCAAATCTTGTGTGCCGCCTTAAAGACGGTGCCACCTCTGCCAAACCCTGGCCATGTTTGGCCCACATGCTGTATGCCAGTGCCGGATGAATGCCTGTTGTGCCAGCTTTATGCCAAATCTGGGCCAGAATTCTTTGCTACTAGGGCAGTTTAATGTCTTATCTAACAGACGGTGCTCACTGAGCAGTATAGAGACCCCATCAATATACTGGGGTGTTAGGACCCACACAGACCACAAGTTGAGCGCCCCCTGCTGGTCTCTCTAACACCACTTCCGGCATCAACCTAGCTTTCCCATATGGTCTCCCATCCAGATACTGACCGTGAAGCTTTGTTACCTTCAGTGAGTGATCATGTGAGAGTTGCAGAGAGCTATGTAGCTGCCAGCAAGATTCAGCATTCAAATGTTCTGAGCAATAAAAAATATTTGAATTCCCTTAAACATGCACTTTTAAAGGAACACTACACCTTTAGCCTCAGAACTTTGTTGATGTAGCATGGCTGCAGCAGGCACAACAAAATAGTACACAGCACCTAAAACATACTGTAGTTTCCAGCACCAAGCCCCACATTTGCACTGTCAGTTAAAATCCGATGTCAGCAGGGTTCTAATAAGTCTTAAAATGTCTTAAATTAAAAAAATACAAATTTAGACCTTAAAAAGTCTTACATTCACTGAAATATTGACTTGTACGCTGCAAAAAAAAAAAAAAAGATTTTCTTAAGAGTAAAATTCCTAAATCAAGAAGCATTTTCTAGACAAGTAAAAATCATCAACTTGTTTTCAGACAAAAAAAATAAAAAAGTCCAAATCCAGTGAGTTTTTCCTTAAAACACTCAAATAATCTTTTTTGGTTTGAAACAAGATTATTTTGCTTACCCCATTGGCAGATTACATTGCTTGTTTTAAGAACAATCTGTTAATTTTGACTCATTATTTCTAGAAACAAGACAATGGCTGTCCTCGGAAGAACAAACTCAGGAGACCGCGAGGGCAGAGAACGCGTCCTTTGAGAAATGGGATGCTGCGTTCTTCCTGATGGTCATGTGACCTTCACGCGTTTTAAATGGAAATTATTTAAACATTACAGCATTCATACAACGATTTATTATTTCCCCCCTCTTCAAAATATATACTTTGCATAAAAACATTATAAATATACTCTGCACAATATAAATAAAACAAATTTTAATACGAATTTCAGCAAACAAACAACCCTTAATGTGTTTATTCCTTTATTAAGATATTCATGTTAATAGTTGCTTTCACCGTTTCATTTAGGGAAACTCCTGAGGTAAATAAGTGATATCTCTGAACTTTAATAATAAATCTAAATAAAATGCTGCGCTTCCCATCTCCAGCCGCAATGACTTCTGGGACTTCCAGAGCGAGTTCGGTGCTCAAGTCTGCATCGGTGCGTCCTCGATATCATGCCATCCGGAAAGTTTCACGCTTCCTCCGTACTTGCGGTCTTGAGTATTGGAACTGAACTTAGGCAGCTGATGATGACGTTGCACGAGAACGCAAGACCGCTGAAGAACACATATTGAGAAACAGCCAATGATTTTTACCTGTCTAGAAAATGCTTCTTGATTTAGGAACTGTTAAGATATTTGGACTAGAAACAAGATGAAAACTCTAGGTAAGAAAAGCTATTTTTTTGCAGTGTATGTCTGAAATTTCCTTTATAATGGTTTTAAAAAGGTGTTAAAGTCTTGAATGTGACATTGTGAAACCTGCAAAAACGCTGTCATTTTATCATCGGAATGACAGAATAGTTCCTAGACATATCAACATTAATTTACTGTTGGTTTCAATACACAATGTAACTACAGAAGAGCGAAGCTTTAAATTATCCCAACTTTACTTTTCATTTGTAAGCAAGATGCTAATGGTCTAATCCGATTCAATGATTTATGCTAATCTAAGCTATCAATGCTCTCGCCAGACCTGAAAGGTCAGCTGAATGAATTAAAAAATTGTAAACTCAACTGTTGTGACTTAAAATAATTTAAAAAAAAGAATATTTCCTCCTAAAAAAAGTGAACGGTTCCTTTAAGTATACCAGCATTAGTCCAAATATAATAAATCCAGTGCACAGAGCTATGGTTAGTTGAGTAAAAGAGAAACACACCCGGTCCAGACGGGACTCGTCCATGCTCTTGGAGTACTCCTTCAGCTTGAACTCTTCTCTGTCGATGCGGGAACTCTCTATGTCAGCAGAAAGATGGGGCATGTTGGAGACCCAGGCGACCGTCCGCTCAGAGGCAGGGGTCTGCGGGTTCAGGGTGGATGGAGATTGTGAAGAGCCCTGAGGAATACAGCAAAACATCATGAGAGTGTGGAAACTCACATTTGGGTGGCATTTTTGGTGTGAATTGTTTTTGAAGCTGCATTTATTGGATTCAAATTGCATTAAAACTGTAATTTTGTGACATAAAAATGAGTTTTATATTTCAATATGTTTTAAAAGATAATTTAGTGCTGTGATTAAATCTTCAGTGCTGTGTGCTATTTCAGAAACCATCCTAATTTGATGATTTGGTGCTCAAGGTAAATGTTTAATTATTAATGTTCAAAACATTATTAATATATCCGCAACATGATTTCTTTTTTGTAAAATTTAATAAGCATTTAAAGAATTGTGATTAGGGAAAATTTCAGAAGAGCTGCAGGTATACATTCATTCCTTTTCCTTTGGCTTAGTGTCTATTTCAGAGGTTACGTCACCAGAATGTACCGCAGAATATTCCAGCATATCTTTTAGGCAGCTGATGCCCTTCCAGCTGCAACCCAGTATTGGGAAACACTCATACACATTCATTCACACACACACACACACACACACACACACACAAACACACAAACACACAAACACACACACACACACACAGTACACACTACAAACAATTTAGTTTATTAAATTCTCCTGTACTGCATGTCTTTGGACTGTGGGGGAAGCCGGAGCACCCAGAGGAAACTCAAACCAACACAGTGTGAACATGCGAACTCTGCAAAGAAATGCCAACTGGCCCTGCCGGGAATCGAACCATCGACCTTCTTGCTGTGAGGTGACAGTGCTAATCACTGAGCCACCGAGCTGCATTTGAAATGTAAATCTTAGGTAAAATTGAAGGCTTTGCTGACAATTCTTTTTATTGATTTAAATAAACAATGTTAAAATACACTTCAAGAAATTTGGCAGAATTTTTGCGAGCAATCTACATATGTGCCAAACAATAAAACATTTTATTATTAAAGTATTATTATTATTTATTTAGCAGCTGTATTTGTGACATATTTAAGGTGTACAAGTGTGATATTCTCAGCAAAATCCTAAATGTTTTTTTTATATTTAAAAAAGGGGAATCATTTGTGAATATTGTGTTTTTAAAAAGATATTACTAATTAAATGTCTTTAATAAATGACAAAATCCATGTGTGATATACTTAAAGAGTAGTTTCACCTTTTTCACTGTACAAGCTCAGGATAAATTGTGGTGTATTATTTTGCTAACTGTAATAATTCATCATTTAAGGCATTTAAGTTTGATTTGCTCATCTAATAATCTTCATTGCTTTGTCAAAAATATTACATACACTATAAACATTTCCTAAAATTACATTCAAACAAATAAACACAATCTAATGGCTTTATAACTTTGAGAATCACAATAGTTGTTTTTCATTGTCTTTCCATCACAAATGACTTGAAAAGGAGTTCACACACACACATAGCTGAAGCAACACTCAGCACAACTAGACAAAAAAACAGAGAGTACGGTTGGGCGATTAATCAAAGATGACTTTCATACACATTTTGTCAGTAGAGCCAGATCTAGTAAACCTGCACATGCTTTCAAATGGAGCAGCATTTACTACACAAAGCCGTAGCTCACTGACAAGCTATGCAGAAAAAGGTTTCAAAATGGAAATCCTGATTTAATTACATGGTTTCAGCTACATTCATTCTTCCATGGAGGGGCGCCACACTAAAATCCATTCCCACCACGGCTACATTACAGCTTCTCATTCAAAACCTTTAGTTTTTGCAGTTTTTCTTTTTTAATAGCGGGTTGTAATAAACACACATTAAAATGTACTGACTGACAGGGCTGTGCGCTGCGTGAGGCCAGCAAACACGATGTAGCTCTTAGTTTCGATGAACACATTTCCATAATTATACTATATTTATAGATAAAGGTCTAGTGCTCTGCATACAATCACTTTATCTTGCTGGAGTTTATAGCCGCTTCACTTTACTATATTATTTACTATATCACTTTACTATAATATTTCTAGCAAATTTAATAAATGTTGGAGAGATGCTTGTTGTATAAACGCTCTAAATCACACTTAAGCAGTGTTTATTTAAGAGTGCACAAGAAAATCTTCGCTTGAGCAGGGTAAATTTGAGGGCGTGCTAGAAGTTTTGTGTACGAACAATAAAAATTGTTGCGCAAGCAAAGAGATTCGCATGCTCGTATTACATGAATAATAATACTGCGCCCACAACATTTTGAAATAACGTCATAGGTAGAAGATGTTTTAAAGGCTGGCACAACAGCTGGGAAAAATCTTAGAGAGGCAACACTGAATGACATTGAGATAATCATTCTGTGTTGTCGTTTGCGTCGCTTCTCAATGTAAAGTAAATGTTGCATTTGAAAAGGTCACATGTTTTTACTCTTCTCTTTACTCACTTCATAACAACATTTGAGTGTCTGAAATAAATCCTTCTGAGATGATTGAACGCAACCTCACTGCAATAGCAATAATTTTGTGGCTAATTCGTACTAATTTGTACAATCTCGTTTGTATGTCTTAGTTCTTAGTTTCATGGCATGCCTTTTTAAAAATCATAAAAATTATTTTGCCACATTTCTGAAAATATGTTAAATAGTTAAATTTCCTTGTGAGATCGGGCTGGATAATTCAATAGTTGTGTGATTATTACTCATGCTGAATCAATGAGAACAGTTAAATTCTCAGTTTAAAAGGACACAGGGGCTGCGTCCCAAATCACTTCCAAACTATATAGCAGTGGCCCCTTAACCACCGGGCTGCAAACCGGCATGGATCAATTGGTACCGTCCCCACAGGAAATCATGAATGATTTCCGTTTTGGTTATCATCTGAACGACCTTTATTTTGAAAAGTCTTCTTTTTTTTTTTTTCTAAATTACCGCATTCTCTCGCTTACATCTCGTTCACTTAAGCTCCAAAATTAAACCCACAGGCAGCAAAATGAGTAAGAAAGTCATCTTTGGAAATTTTCTTTGCTAAGGGGAAAAGGCCCAGTGAAGAACCTGCAAACTGCCAAGGAATAGATCAGCAGCTAATTTGTCAACAAAGCAGGTGAATCCAGCATGTCTGTGCAAGAAGATCAACAGCTGGAGATTGCAAATGACGGCAGCCTTTAAGGGGCAGCTCGCATATTGCTTCTTTTCTAGAGTTTGCGCATTCGTTATTTCCAATTAAGTTGAGCGGCTTAAGGCTGATTTACGTTCACAAGTCACGTGACATGAGCTGACCAAATTAGCTTTAGCTTGTATCGTATATAAACGTTTCGATGAACTAATAATCTCAGACAAACACAGAGCACCAAAACACTGCAGTGCTTTGTCATTTCCTCCATAAGTAAAACTTGTATCAGCAATGTTTTGTCAGCTTGTCATCCTCTGAGAAAGCGGTCGATGGTCGCCTAGCAACCTACGAACCACCGCCTCTGGTCAACGGTAAAATTGGAAGCGTTGATCGGTCTGTAGTGATAAAAAGGTTATGGACCACTGCTATATAGTACTTAAAAACAGTATGCAAGCTGAGTAGTATGTATTCAAAAAACAGTACGCAAGAAGAATGATCTATTACTACTGGCAAGATTCTAAAGTGCAGATCCGAGGGATGCCACGCTACCCCATAATGCACAGTGAGAGAGTTCATGAATGTGAGTGAATTGACGTAACTGATGTCGGTAGGTCACGAGATACTTACAAATGGCGGATGTAGTACGTCTGAATTCCACATTCATACTTTTATAACCGTCATGTAGTAAATTCAAATGTAGTACATATTTGAGAAGTAGGCGATATTGGACGCAGCCAAGGATTATAATGACATTACCTCGGTTTCATCGGCCAACCTGATTTCAGCAAGTAGTACATGTTCCTGGATTAACATCCTGAAACTACATTCCAATCAGCCAATCAGACTTGAGGGGCAAGTTTACAGTTTATGTGAAGTTTAGGCTTACAGTTAGGTTGATGCTGTTCTACATGATTGTTATCCAACTATTATTCCCCTGATTTGGGGAAGTACTTACAGTTATGGTTGGGTTTAGGGGTAGGGAATAGGTATGGATTACTTTTTCAAATAATAAAGATGTTCCAGGATCAGCATAGATGTTAATCCAGGATTGCATCATACTTGGCAAAATCATTTTTGAGTTTCATCATGGGTGTTTGGCCCTTTTAAAGAGCGCCTTCTAGTATTCAGAGGAGATTTACTACTGATCACACAACCATGCTTCCCTGACAAGATGTGCATGACAATCGCAGCTGTGATCAATTACATCTCATTTTGATTAATCACCCAGCACAAGACAGTAGGAATGGTTTATGATTTGAACACCTGTTTGCTCATGGTAGGCTTGAGCAGATGCTGTTGCTGGACCTGCTGCCGTTCCTGATGTGATTTGGACTGCTGCGTGGACTGCGGCGTTCCACCCTGAGAGCCCTGGGATCCCTGACTCTCCCTGGTGGAGCTCTGTTGATGCGGCAGGCCGGGTGGGGTGCTGTCTTTGACAGACAGCTGCTGCCGAGGGCCCTGCTGCCGGCCCCCGAAGCCAGACTCCGGGGACTGGAGCAGGTTTCCGCTCTGCGGCCTGGTTTTGGACGCAGGGGCACCAGCGGCAGAGCTCACAGAAAGCTGATGTGAGGGTTGTGATTTCATGCGCTGCGTGGGAGGAGCCATGGAGCTTTGACGAACAGGTTGAACAGTGGAAGGAGGAGTGGCGAGAGATGAATGAGATGTGCCAGTCTGCGATGCCATGCCTGCCATCTGCTGCTGCTCCTAGTCACAAGACACATGCTTAAATAACATCCACCATTTCTGACACTCATATATAAATCAGCTTGGCTCATTTGTCAGCATTAGGTATTGGCTTGAAAAGAAAACTAAGCAAACAATGAATCCTTCCTGTAAAACAGTACCAGGAGTATTGTCACATTTCAAATTACAGTATAAACGATACATATTTTTGTAGGCCAACCTGAATTTAGCAATAAAATGCAATGTAACGAACACAAAAACTGTTAACTTCAAACCTTATTTAAAGGGATAGTTCACTCATAAACACGAATTTACTGACCATTTATTCAATTTCATGAAGTTCCAAAGCTTTATGAGTTGTTGAACACAAATGAAAATATTATAAAGAAGAATATTGAAAACCTGTAACCATTGACATTCATAGTAGAAAAAACGATATACTATGGAAGTCAATAGCCGCATTTCCACTGTCAGGCCAGTGCGAGCCAGGGCTTTTATCGGGCTGAACCGGGCTAATCGCCCGGGAGGTTAAGCAGCAGTGAGGATATATATATATATAGCACCTTTTTATAAACGCATCGGGGAAAACTGCAAATACAAAATGTGTTTTATGTCCTCAAACAAGTGTTTGTTTTTTATAACGTGGTAAAATAAAAAAAAATTAAGTTTTAATACATTTAGAGCTTTATTAGTGGATATATATATATATATATATATATATATATATATATATATATATATATATATATATATATATATATATATGCAAATGTATATTAAAATATCAGAAATAAGTTTAAAAATCATATCACCATTATTGAAAAAATCTATCGCGATATATATTAATATCAAATTATTGTCCAGCCCTAGGTTACCTTTTTCCTTTTCACTTTCAAAATATCTTCTCATTTGTTCAACACAACAGTGAAACTCAAACAGGTTTTGAACAAGTGGAGTAAATTATTATAAATTTTTTGAGTAAACTATCTCTTTTCATTTTTTTTTCTCCAAAATCCACTCTAATGCCAACTTTAGCATTAGAGTGTCCAATTTTACATTTGATTATATACAATATAAAGGTCTTCAAGAGCTACTTTGTGGCTTTTTATTATGATGCTACCATTTGTTTCAACAGTGCAACCACATCAGTGAAATTACAGCAATATTTTGAGTGCAAAAAATGCCCATGGTTCATTGTCAATAGTGTTGTATAAAGAACAGCTCACACAGAACACACTTTCAAACCAACCAGCTTTTCTGTTGCTCAGAGCAGTGAATTCGCATGACCAACGTGAACATGAGCAAAATCTAAGTGTGAACTTTATCGTCCTCATGTGAATGGAAAAGAGATCTGCTATTAGGAGATGTGAAAGGAAAAACCCCCCTCCCCCTCAAGAGGCGCATTAGCATCTTATGCTAGAAGATGTGGTTTTTTTGGTTCTTATTAAAGGTTCGGTTCACCCATAAAGTACATTTCTGTTATTAATTTCTCACCCTCAGTTTGTTACAATCCCAAAAGACCTTTGTTCATCTTCAGAACACAAATCAGGTCCCTAGACATTCAAAGTCCAATAAACAAACCAAACACATGGTCAAAACAGTCCATGTGTCTTCAGTGGTTCAACTGTAAATACACCGGTGCATTAACTACAGGTCAATAAATGTATTGCCATTAGAGTCAGCAGCGCAACACACAAGTATTGCATTGCCTGTAGTAAACATGCACCCTGATCTGAAACAAAAGACATTGCAGAACAAAGTTTTTTGCAGTATTTTTATCACACAAAAGTGTTTACAGGGCTTTGTATAATTACAGCTTAACCACTGAAGTTACATAGACTGTTTTGACAATGTTTTGGTTCCTTTTCTGAACCATGGTTGATGAAGGAGCTCCCACATTTCATCTAGAATGTCTTAATTTGTGTTTTAAAGACGAGGGGATTGGAATGACATGAGGATGAGTAATTAACTAACTGTGAACTAGTGAACTAATCCTTTAATGCACCTGTCTTCCATGCTTAGTGAGTAGAACCAGACGGTTAACACTGGTGCCATGACTCAAATGGGAGTGAGGATTGAGGGGTAAATGTAATGGAGTACAGCTAGCAAAAGCTGTGTTAGTAAACTTCACTACTCTGGCCTCAATAGTCACGTTAGGGGCTTTCACACCAGTTAGTAAGAGGAACATAGTAGTAGAACTAAATTCTTTTCAGGCCATTTTCTCGGTTGCTACTCTGACTGGAAGTCAGCGACCTTATTGTCAAATGTGGCATTGAATAAAACTGACCACTGGAGGATGGAGGGTGCCGTGGTTGGAGCTAGGTTTACCTTTTGATGCCATGCTAACAGATATACAAGTGCACATTCCACAAACACTGGTTTCTATTTGCTGGTTAGACTCTACAATGGTAGTTCCTATTTATCAGTGTAAAGTCTAACCAGCATATAGGAACTATTTACTGGTTATACTGGATACTAAACTAGATCATATTTGCTGGTTAGACTACACACTGGTAGTCACTATTCGCTTTGTATGCTGTAAGCTCTAACCAGCAAATATGAACTACCTCAACAATTATTGTTCCTATTTCTTGGGTAGACCCTACACTTGTAGTTCCTATTTATCAATGTAGGGTCTGACCAGAAATTAGGAACTACCCGTTTAGAGGCTATCCCGCATATAGGAACTACTAGTATAGGGTCTAATCAGCACTGGTAGTGTGTTGCCTCTTTCATTTCATCTGCACAGGCTCTGAAAAAATAAATAAATAAAACAACACTGGACAAATTAAATCACTTTTATGAACCCTTGGAGTTGGATCCATTTCTTTGTCTTTTTTTTTTAACAACATCCCGGACGAGCCCCCACTTTATGTTAGATCCTTGACCCTAGACCAGGGTCGTAACAAGTGCTAACCAACTATTTGCTGTATAAGTGTTATATCCTATCTGCTGATCCCATCTCATGTCTAGGGTCTTCCTATTTGCTGATTAGACCCTAAACCAAAGTATGAACTAATTAAGTTCCCTCACAGGCATTCCTAGTTCTTGTGGACTACTTCTGCCAATAGTTCTAGGAATTACAAAAAGTTCCTGCAATGAGAGCCTCTATCAAGTCTGAAACCAGTGGACCTGTTAGTGCACCTGCATAGTTAGTTCCAAGGTTTAGTGCTGTCATCTGAATGTCATCTAACGTTTAGGTGGATGTGTGCAATGGACTAGTAGTAAACCTGACATCATGGAGTCAGGAGGTGAACTTGCAATTGATGCTAAAGACGGTTTTTTAGCACCTTGTTAGTTCACTTGACTCCCATGCCGGAAACACTACTTCACTTAAACTATGACCCAGAATGGAGTGAGATTTATGGAGGTGAGTGTAATGGAGTAGTAGGAGCTGTGTGGGTAAACCTCACTTCCCTACCCTAAAGAGGTGAACAAGCGACTGATATTAAAGGCTGCAGTAAATGGGACCACACCTTAAGTCACAGGTGTCAAACTCAGTTCCCGGGGGGCCGCAGTTCAGAACAGTTTAGTTCCAACCCTAATTAAACACACATGATCTAACTAATTAAATCCTTTATGCTGATGATACACGGCTCATCCTTTTGGGCAATGCTGCCGGGCAATTTTGCAGAGCAATGCAGCAGTATTGTCTCTGTAGCCTGTTGCCGTAATAAGTTACCCTGTGTCTCATCCGGTTGCCCATTTATGGCATAATTTCCCAAAGTTGCCCAGCATCATTGCTAAATAAGCTGCCCTGTGTATCATCAGCATTAGGCTTGTTTAAAACCTACAGGTGAGTGTGTTGAAGCAGGGTTGGAACTACACTGTGTAGAGGCAGCGGCCGTCCAGGAACAGAATTTGACATCCTTGCCTCAAGTCAAAGCAATTTAAAACAAGCAAATACCTGCATGTGCATGGAGATCTGTCGTCGCCCGTAGTCGCTCTGGTTATGACGGCTGTAGTCGTCGCTGTAGCTGTGAGAATGAATAATACTTGGCTGGCCCAGATGAGGGCCGGGTCTGAGGGTGGAGAGGTCCTCACTTCGGGAGAAACCACCATGTGCAAACTGTGGGATATAAGTAGGGTGAGAACCGTCCGGCTCTGGGGCCAGCAGGAGCGGAGGAGGAGGCTGAGCTCGACTGTGCTGGTGGTGAAGCTGCGGTCCGTCAGCAGCGAGGTGGAACAGAGGGTTCTGGAAGGACAGGGGAAAGCGGAGGGCGGCGGCCTGCTGCTGCTGCTGCTGGGACAGGGAGTCGGTAGTGGTTCCCATCTGGCTCAGCTGGCTCAACCTCAGACCCCCGGACATACTGGAACCGCCAGATCCGGCCGACATACGTCCTCCGGCTCGCAGCTGACCTCCGAGGCCTCCACCCAAGCCTGCGAGCCCACCGTAGCTGCCGAGGCCAGCAATCGAGGCCTGGGAAGAGTTGAGCATGTCCCCCATAGACTGCAGGTTAGAGACGCTGTTCATTCTGGAATCCTGGAGGTCCATCATAGAAACATTTTCATTAACACCCTACAACCTATGGCTGAGAACGCTGCAGATACCTGCCGTGCGCAGCAGTTGGGGGAGGATGTGTATGTGTAACGTGAAGGTTAAAGGGAATAATTCACCCAGAAAATAAATTTCTGTCATTATTTACTCTATTTTTATTTATATTTATTTATATTTTATTTTATTATTTACTCTATTTTATTATTTAGTAATACTTATTTCAGTAAACCTGTTTACTTATTTTACAGTTTAAATGGATTAATTTTTTCTTTTCATTTAATTACATTTTTGTACAGTATTGTATTTTATAACTTATTTTAAATGTTATTTTTGTTTAATAAATGTTGGCGTAGGTACATAAGTACATTCTGAAATAATATATAGGTTAATATCCTGTACTGTTCACTGGGTTTTGTAATATAATTAACATTAATAAAAACAAAGAAGAAAAAAAAAGTGTTTACATACTGATTAAGTTTCTTATTTTATATTGATTATGCACTGTATATGGCAGGGGTGCCCAAACTTGTTCCTGGAGGGCCGGTGTCTTGCATATTTTAGTTCCAATCCCAATTAAACACACCTGAACCAGCTAATATAAGTCTCTTTAAGTGTGTTGAAGAAAGTTGGAGCTAAACTATGCAGAACACCAGCCCTACAGGACCCAGTGTGGGTCTCCCTGGTCTATAGAGTCGACCAGATATGTAATTTTCAAGTTATATTCTGTAAAGGACAATAAAATGTAAATGCGAAAAATTATTTTTAAAAACATTTATTCCTTGTATTAGTGTGATATTTTTTTCAATTTAACTGTTGTTATGCAGTTTGTAAATATGTAAATACATTAATGTATAATTATCAAAAGCTTTTAACATTTAAAGGGGACTAAAACACTATTAAAGGTGCTGTAAGTAAATTTTCAACTCTTCTTAAGCATAAAAAATACCATAAGATGTTTGCTGATATTTAAGAGTCATGCCAAGTGAACATTCTTGTTTATCTGAAAAACAATGCTAAAATCAGAAATTCTGCTTTGAAATTTGAGTTACATGCCGTAACGTCTGTCTTCGTTATGGTAATTTTAACCTGCCCAATGCCAGTTTAGCCAATTATATTTCAGCACCCTGGCATGCCTTGATGGAAAACAGTGTATTTCATTTATTAATTTAAAAAGGCTCTCGAAGCATGCATCTGTGACTAAAATACGACCTTCGATGGACAGTAGCAGCCTCCAAAATGAGACACAGATTCAGAGTTTCACATGATGTTATTAAATAGCAAATAATATAAATACTACCAAAGTAAACATTAGGTGAGCGGGTTACATTGTAACTCCCACGTCCTAACAACATGCTTCGTGACGAGATGATGATAAGCTATGATAAGCAATTTGTTTGCTTGCACCAGATGAAACACAACTAAATACAGTATTAAAGGGCCATGACACCCCCCACTTTCGGTTAAAGTGTACTTCAGAATTATTTCAAAAGATGCATGATTAAAGTGCGTGGAGCTCCGCGAGCATCGGGCAGGAGTGGGCGTGGCCAGCAGGGGAGAACGTGAGCGAACGAAGCTAGCTTACAAAATGAGACAAACCGCAAGGAGACGCATGAGTTTATAGTTTACAAAGTTAAAATGCAAAGAAATGAACAGTGATTTATTGCCCTGCTACATTTGTTATTCGTAATTTCATATACACATAACCACAATTTATATAATTATAAAGATGAGTGTGTTCACGTAAACCCTATAAATGAGGACTTCTCCTTCAATCCCTGTATCCAGCAGACTCAGTGCAGCAGGTCTCCTGACCTGTCTATTTTAACCGTTAGCCCTGCTGGTAATCTGGAGGATTTAGGCAAACACAGCAGCACGGCGATGTGTCTGAATGTGAACGAACTCCTGATAAAAGACAGCGTCCGCCATTTTCTAATTCTCATGCTGCTCTCCCGACAAAAATGCTAGCAGCACACACACAGCTTTGCTGTATGATCGGCCCTGACAAGATCGCGGGGGAAAACATGCAACAAACCCCGTGGATCATGGAAACAAACGCATAGGAGCCTTCATGAACGGCTAAATACTGAGTGCCCATGCCGTGGGTCCGTGACGTGTCTCACAGCTCGGGGTTGACTCTGGCAGGTCTGAAAGTGACATTTAAAAGCTTAACTAGGTTAATTAGGTTAACTAGGCAGGTTAGTGTAATTAGGCAAGTTATTGTATAACAATGGTTTGTTCTGTAGACTACTGAAAAAAATATATAGCTTAAATAATAATTCATTTATATCAGACATTGATAATACATTTTTATTAGATTATTTCTTAACTTTTATTATTAGAAATATATAATATTATTTGTAATATTATAATATTAAAATCTAGCATTATTAACTATTCTGACATTTATATTTCGAGGCCAAAGTGCAGCTGAATTGGCCAAGAACTGTCAAAATTACAACACAAAAAGCCTGATTTTAGCCAGTCTCTAATGTTCCAATTGTACCTTATTTCATTTTTATTATTATTTATTATCATTATTTTATTATTTTTATTATTATTTATTATTATTATTTTTATTATTATTATTATTAATAATAATAAAATATATATATTTTCGCTGTGATGTCACTATATTGCAAGTCTTCTTAAACCTTTTTAAAATAAATGTAGAATTTTATTATCATCGTCATCATCATTTTCATCACAGCGAAAATAATTATTTTAAAAATAAAAATAAAAAAATGTTTTAGTTTAATAAAATTAACTTTTCTAGTTATTCCAACATAAAAATATTAAGTTCAACTTTGTTTTTTTAAAAAAGAAAACTGATTAACTTATTAAAATAAGGTAAAGTCACATAAGTAACATTTGTTATTTATAATGATAATATTAAAAAGTGTAATAATATTGTTATTATTGTCATATATTTTTATATTTTATTTTTTTCACAGTTTTTTTACAGTTTCTTTTTTTTTTTTTTTTTTTTTTAAAGCACTTACTGCTTTGAACACCGCACATACAGGATAATCACAGAAGTTTAACTTCAGGGTGAATTATTAGCTCTTATGCCAGGACCCTGAATCCCAAAATGGTGATGCAAGACTAATGTAAGGAATCTCAGTGGTATGTACTGACAGCACCCACATCATCCTGCAGCCTCTTTCCATGCAGTAAAGCAGGTCAGTGGCGCTTCCTTCTCCACAGGAACAAAGCGAACCCTCAGAAAAGCTGGTGAAACGTGTGCTAGGGAGCGAGCTGTTATTCAAGTGACAACTTCTATGAGAAATCTAAACGACATGGGCTGGGTTTTTTTTCAGCAGAAGGACTTACCTTTGGGTCTGGATCAGTAATATCTGAACTGCTAGTACAGTACGCTGGACTGGAGCGGGCCAGTGGGGGACGGGCACCATAGAAAACATCTTTAGACGAGGCTCGGTGAGGATGATCGCGGTCCGCAAACCCAGCCATTCCTGCACGGGATGGAGGAGCTCCACCGCTGGACATGGCAGAAGTTGGAGAGGGCAGACGAGTGATCTCCACTGAACTGTGGGAGATATGAGAACCAGAATATGAAGAAAATCCATTTCACTGTATACAGAAGGAATAATCCACTAAATTAAGGTCTGTTTCAAAACCTAGCAAGCCACATGGTGATGTTTTTAATATTATTGATTTTCTGTTGATTCAAATTTCATTAATTAATATCAGTATTATTTTTGTAACAAATAAATAATTAATTAAGATTTCATATAGGGGTATTTTAGTAGGGCTATTTTCTGTTTTTAATTTTCATTTAGGAATAGTTTTAGTAACTGGTCTTTTTGTCATTCGTAACAAAATAAAAGGAGTAAATGAATGATATATATATATATATATATATATATATATATATATATATATATATATAGTGTTATATAGTGTTGTTTATAGTGTTGTTTTAGTATCATTTATGGGCTGTTATTGTTTCATATTTTTTGTTTTATTTTAATTTTAGCAATAGTTTTAGTAACTGGTCTTTTTTTTTTTTGCTCAGCCGCAAGCCAACCCCCTGCCACCCAACCACCCCCCCCCCCACCCCCACCAACAAAAAAAAAAAATGCTTATCACTTTTGTCTACGGCCCCGTCAACCCCCCTCTCCACTTTTGTCCGGCCCTAAATTTTGACAATAGTTTTATTAAGTGGTCTTTTTGTCATTTGTGCACAGAAGGAGTATTCCATTCACTTAAGTTCAGTTTCAAAACCTTAACTACCTTTTGGATTTTCTGTTGATTCAAATTTGATTCATTAATATCAGTATTATTTATGTAAGAAATAAATGATTAATTAAGATTTCTTATAGGGGTATTTTAGTATAATTTATGAGTAAATTTCTATTTTCTGTTTTTATTTTTCAATTAGGAATAGTTTTAGTAACTGGTCTTTTTGTCATTCGTAACAAAATAAAAGGAGTAAATGAATGATATATATATATATATATATATAGTGTTATATAGTGTTGTTTTAGTATCATTTATGGGCTGTTATTGTTTCATATTTTTTGTTTTATTTTAATTTTAGCAATAGTTTTAGTAACTGGTCTTTTTTTTTTTTTGCTCAGCCGCAAGCCAACCCCCTGCCACCCAACCACCTCCCCCCCCACCCCCACCAACAAAAAAAAAAAATGCTTATCACTTTTGTCTACGGCCCCGTCAACCCCCCTCTCCACTTTTGTCCGGCCCTAAATTTTGACAATAGTTTTATTAAGTGGTCTTTTTGTCATTTGTGCACAGAAGGAGTATTCCATTCACTTAAGTTCAGTTTCAAAACCTTAACTACCTTTTGGATTTTCTGTTGATTCAAATTTGATTCATTAATATCAGTATTATTTATGTAAGAAATAAATGATTAATTAAGATTTCTTATAGGGGTATTTTAGTATAATTTATGAGTAAATTTCTATTTTCTGTTTTTATTTTTCAATTAGGAATAGTTTTAGTAACTGGTCTTTTCGTAGCAAAATAAAAGGAGTAAATGAATGTTATGTATGAATTCATTCATTAAGATTTCTTATAGTGTTGTTAAGTATCATTTATGTGCGTTACAGTTGCTTATTTTTTGTTTTTATTTTTATTTTAGGCATAGTTTAAGTTACTGGTCTTTTTGTGATTTGTAACAAAATGAAAGGAATCAATTTATGTTTTATAAATTAACTATTTAGGATTTACCCTTGGCCCCAGCCACAGCTACCCCCACCCACCCCAAAACTGCTTATCACTGTTGTCTACGGCCCCGTCTTCCCCCCTCTGCACTTTCGTCCACAACACCCCCTCTCGTCCGGCCCTGATTTTAACATTAGTTTTAGTAACTGTTTGTTGGTCATTTGGTTGTACACAGAAGGAATATTCTATTCACTTAAGCTCTGTTCCAAAAACTAGCCAGCCATGTGATGATATTTTTAATATTCTTGATTAAAATTGATTTATTAATATTAGTAATGTTAATTAATTCCTTATTTAAATATTACTAATATTATTATTATTATCAATGTTTAACGTGTCCTGACTATAAGGGCGTCAATGTGATCGTGCACACCAATGGCAGACGCAAAACCGTCATTTAAACATTAAACACATTGACACCCTTATAGTCAGGAGGCATTAATCATTTACGGAAAACTTGAGCAAAAAACGTCTCGGTGTGCACAGGCCTTTAGTTTTTATAATTTATTCAATCCTTTTCTTTTTGGCTTAGTCGCCTTATAAATCTGGGGTCACCACAGCGGAATGAACTGCCAACTTATCAAGCGTATGTTTTACGCAGCACATGCCCTTCCAGCTGCAACCCATTACTGGGAAACACCCATAAGAACTCATTAAGACACATACACAACGAACAATTTGGCCAACCCAATTCACCTGTACTGCATGTCTTTATACTTGTGGGGGAAACCAGAGCACCTGGAGCAACCCACACGAACGAGGGGAGAACATGCAAACTTCACACAGAAACGCCAACTGACCCAGCCGAGGCTTGAACCAGCGACCTTCTCACTGAGTGGTGAACATGCTACCCACTGCACTACCATGAAGCCTTTATACATTTCAAAATATATATATATATATATATATGTGTAAAATAAATATATTTATTTTACATACATATATATATATATATATATATATATATATATATATATATATATATATATATATTTATAGTATATACACACACACACACACACACACACACAATATACATATACATATACATATATATATATATATATTTTTTTTTCCAGTTTTTATTAACATTTTAGCAATGCTTTAGTAACTGCTCTATTTGTCATTTGCATCAAAATGAAATGAGTAAATGAATGTTACATATAAATTAATTAAGACTCATATAGTGTTGTTTTATTATAATTTATGCACTGTTATATGGTGTTTATATTTCAAAGTTTTTATAAAAAAATATTGCTATGGCTTTCTTTTGTCATTTGCATCAAAATGAAATGAGTAAATGAATATAAATTTGTTTCACTAATTCATTTTGGCTTTTTTAGTACTTCAAATTGATTCATTCATTTTCCTTTAGCTTAGTCCCTTTATTTATCAGGGGTTGCCACAGCTGAATAAACTTATCCAGCATATGTTCTACGCAGCGGATGCCCTTCCAGCTGCAACCCAGTACTGGGAAACACCCATACAATCTCCCATTTACACACATACACTATGGCCAATTTAGCTATTCAATTGACCTATAGTGCATGTCTCTGCAGTATGGGGGAAATTGAAGCAACCGGAGGAAAAAATGTATGAATGTTTAAATAATGCAAGCGGTTCTGATACTATTGATAGTCAGCATTGTTTTCTGACTTAAATATTTAGGTTGAATGTTAGTTGCTGCACTAAAACCATAATAAATTTGAAAAATAGTATTCCCAAATTATTACATTACAAAAAAACATGAATTTTTATTGTTAGCACACATTGCACATCCATTCCAGGTTGCAAAGCACCTACTCTGATGCATAAAAAATACAACTGTGCAGGTTTTTCAAGTTCTACAGATTTTTGGAGGTGCAGATGCGACACAAATAAAACACACACACACACACACAAACACACACACACACACGCACACACACACACACACACACACACACACACACACACACACACACACACACACACACACACACACACACACACACACACACACACACACACACACACACACAGCTGAAGTTTAATTCAATTCAATTATTACTATAATTACAATAATTACTGTTTCAAAGCAGGTGCAGATTATTGCATTACAATTAAATTCGGAAAAGTTTAGGTTATTAGTTATCATTACATTATTAGTTACTAATACCTTTTAACTAATTAACTAGTAACTAATGGCTTTTACCAGTTAAAGTTCTTAAATATAAACATAATTAACCTGCAGTTATATAGCATATATGCGATGTCTATATGTGTACTGTACATGTTTAATGACGTGTATTTGTGTATTAAGTGTGTGTGGAGTTTTGTTACCTGTTAAGGTCTCTCATCATGAGATTCTGGAACTCAGACGAGACGCCCCTGTTGAAGCTGGGTCGGGACAGCAGTCGGTCTGTCTGTCTCTCTGCAGGCTGTCTGTCTGTCTGATGACTGGGCTGCCTCTGCAGGTGAGGGTTGCGGAGGGCCATGCTGATGTCATTGAGGAGGCGGGGCAATGGTCCAAGTTTGATGATGGCATCCTTTGACACAATAAACCAAGACCTAATTGATGACTGAGGTCAAATGTAAGAAAACAATCACTGTCATCACATATACATCAGGGGTTCTTATGTGAATACTACATTTGCATGTCAATACAGTGCATTATCTGTCTTTAAAGGTTTTTCATCTTTCAAATATGTCTGGTTAAATGGTTACATTAGACTGTTGTAAAGCAAAAGATGAATTAAAATTATACAGTTTATAAATCATTATTTTTTATGACATTATGTGTTATATATTGAATAAAATTTTTGTAATTGCATTTTACAAGTCAGTAAAAAAAATTAAAACTACAATAAAATAATGATGGTAATCTAAATGTAAAAAGTGGAACATTTGAGATAAAAAATAAAATAAAACAAAACAAAATAAAATAGACAATAAAATAAAAAAACATAAAAAATATTAAATTAAATAACACACAATAAAATTAAATACAAAAATAAAATAAGGCAAAAGCCACAAAAAGATAAAATACAAAGAAAAAATTAAATGCAAAAATAAAATAAGGCAAGCCACAAAAAAATATAATTAAATTTATTAAAATAGGATTTTATAGATCAGAAAAAAACAATAAAATAAATTAACTAATAAAATCTATTAAAATAAAATTAACAATAGAATAAAAAACAAATGCAATTTAATTAAATAAAAGACAATGTAATAAAATAAAATTATAAAATAAAATGCATTAAATAAGAAGTAATAAATAAAAAACCTGTAAAAATATAATTAAAATGTAATTCAATAAATACAATATAATAAAATAAAACAATAAAAAACTGAAATACGTTAAAATAAAATGTATTCATTTAAAAATATATAATTAAAAAAAATCAATAAAATGTAATTAATTAAAAGGCAATATAATAAAGTAAAACAATACATTTAAAATAAAATATATATTTCTTTTATAAAATAAAATAAATAAAATGCAATTAAACAAAAGACAATAAAATTAAATTAAAATAAAATACATTAAAATATATATTTTTTTCATTTTAAAAATAAAAATAATATAAAATAACAAAAAGTGCAATTAAAAAGGACAATATAATTAAATAAAGCAATAAAATAAAATACATTAAAATAAAATGTATTGATTAAAAAAATATTAAATAAAATAACATACATAAAAATGTAATTAATTAAAAGATAATAAAATAAAACAATAAAATAAAATGCATTAATAAAAATGACTATAAATAAAACGGCAAATAAAATGTTATTAAATAAGAGACAATATAATAAAATAAAACAATATTTGTAAACTTAAATTTATTATTTTTTAAATTAATATAAATAAATTATATGCAATTAAATAAAAAAATATATATAATAAAAAACATAAAATAATAAAATAAAATGCATTCAAATAAAATTAATTTATTTAAAAAATATAAAAATAACATAAACAAATAAAATGCAATTAAATATAAGTCAATAAAATTAAATAAAATAAAATGCATTAAAATAAAATCTATTCATTAAAAGCATACAATAAAATAACATAACTATAATTTATTTTATTAAAAGACAATATAATAATATAAAACAATAAAATAAAATGAATTAAACAAAATTGTATAAATTAAAATAACAATAAAATAACATAAATAACATTTTATTAAATGAAAGACAATATAATAAAACAAAAAAAGAAATAAAATAAAATGCAAAAAAATTTAATTATATTAAATTAAAATATACGTTTAAAAATAAAAAAACTATAAAACAAAATAACAAATAAAATTTTATTAAATAAAAAACTAAATAATAAAATAAAACACTTAAATAAAATGCATTAGAATAACATTTTATAAATTAAAAACAATAAAACAAAATAAATAAAAGTTTATGAAATAAAACACAATAAAATAAAATAAAATGTATTTGTTAAAAAATAACATAAATAAAAAAATGTAATTCAATAAAAGACAATATAATAAAACAAAAAATTTAATAAAAAACTATAAAATAAAATACTATAAATTTAATTAAATAAAGTACAATAAAAATACAAAAAATTATTAATTAATAATAACAAAAGCAAAAAGGCAAAAAGGCAATTTGAATATGCATATAATAATAAAACTGAGACAGCACAATTAAATATCAAATAATACCAAATGTGCACAACACAAAAATGATGTAACTCTAAAATGATTTGCCCACATTGATAAGCCATGTTGTGGCTAATAAATCCTCACGTACCTTGCTCAGCTGAGCCATAACCTCCCAGAGCAGACTGTGCAGGATGGAGAGCTCGCGGCCTAGGTCAATGTAGCCCTCGAAGGCCCCAGCATTGCTCACACTGTCCAGATTGGAGATCTCATAGAGAAACTGCTGCATGGAGCCCCACTCCATCTCCAGAAACTCATTCATGAAGCACATGTACTCCTCCTTACTGCCAAACCTGCAGGACAAGAGGACAGAGTGGAGAATGTTACCACAAAGATATTGAACGATCATAATGTTGGCTGCTGAACAGTTTCTTAAAGCTTAAAAGGGAAAGATCTGGAATGATGGCCCAAAAGTCATGAATAAACCAATAAAATGTAAGTGTTAAAGAGGTCTCCACCAGCAAAGACACATCTGCTGAATTTAAGAAGAAAGCCCTGGGTTTGTAAGTGTACCATATGTTGTTCTAGATAAATACCATTTAAAGAGACTTATACTCTTCCTCCACTTGCTCTAAACCTGTTTGGATTTCTTTCTTCTATTGAACACAAAAGAAGGTAATATGAAGAATGCTGGAAACTGACAGCCATTTACTTCCATAATAATAAAACAAATATATACTATGGAAGACGATCAACAGTGATCTAATCTTTGCAGTTCGCTGGAAAACCACACATCTGTCTCTGAACTGGACTACAAATACCATTATGCACCTTACACACATCAGTTCCTGATTCCCCCTGATTACTCACACACAGCTGGAAGCTCATAATAGACTGCTTACCAAGACTATATATGTATCTCATTCTTGTCTTGTTTATTTCCTGAAGCGTTCAATTGTGTCACCGTGTTTCCTCACCCTTGCCTGGTTTATTGTTTCATGCTGTTTGCCACCTGTACCAATCTATTCGTCTGTGACCCTGACTACTCTTCTGGATTACCTGCATGCTTCTGTCTGTTCCTGTTGTGACCTTTACCTCCCTGACGATTCTCGTAAAATAAAGACTCTGCATTTGGATCCTCAACTCCGTTGCCAGACTCGCATACGGGAAGTATTCATAGTGCTTCACTTTTTACCTTTTTGCCAAATAAATTTGCAACAATTTTTCACATTGTCATTACGGGGTATTGTGTGTAGAATTTTGAGGAAATTAATGAATTTAATCCATTGTGGAATAAGGCTGTAACATAAAACAATGTGGATAAAGTCAAGCGCTACGAATACTTTCTGGATGCGCTGTATCGTACCACGTGTCCAACAGAAGAAAGAAACTCAAATTGAAAGAACAAATGCTATAAAGGTTTAAAAGCACTCTTGAGGTTGAGTAAATACCTCTAAATCACAATTATCATGATTTAGGAAAAATTGAAATAAAGGCAGCTAAAAGCAGAAATCAAAACATGACAATGAAGTTACACTCCACTTTTTTTTTTTTTTTTACAAGTCTCCTATGTTTAAACAGTTGAGTTTTACCATTTTTTAATCCATTCAGCCAATGTCCAGGGGCCTTATGTATGTCATGTAAGATTTGATTTGAAATCATACTAAAACACTACGTACGCACAAAGCTGTAAATGTGCGTACGCAGTAAAAAATTCAGATGTATGAAACAGTCCGTACGCGGAATCCCACGCATATTCTCTTTGTACATTCGACTTAACGTGAAACTGAGCGCATGTGCACGAGTGCAAAACCCCTCCCTGCCTCTTCCCCCTAATAAATATGGTAATGACTCTACTTTGGCAAAATCAAATGAAAAAGCAATGGCGAAAGCAAGCAAGAAGAGAAACTCTGAACAGAATGTGAATTAGAGATGCTTCTATATTTAGGTAGATAGGAGAAAAAGGGTGGTTTTTGCAAGTTTATCTTCCAGAATTAATAACAAAAGAAAAAAATAGAGTGGGGAGAGTTTAACTGACGTGGTTAACACAGTGGGGTCTGAACAGCACACTGTGAGTGAATTAAAAAAGAAATAGTCTGATGTAAAGGTGTAAAATTTTGTAGTGTCTATTTAGGTTAAGTGCAAATAGCACACCTCGATGGAATAAGCTAGTTGAATGCCCATCACCGTTTGATCGACAGAGACAACAGAACTAAAAACAGCAGTAAACAGCAGTGTGAGTGGGGCAGCTCATAAAGCGCATGGCAACATGTTTTGACACTAGCGATCATAAACCTGGTTCGAATCCAGGTCTGATGAATATATTCTTTTTTCCCCATTACATCTCAGACAACTCTTCATCACGAGGAAGACAAGTAGGAATCGTTAATAAATGCGTGTATTATGTTAAGCGCATTTGAGCATCACATATTATTTGCACATTTATTGAATGTAAAAGTTTCCCATTCATGTATGCAAATTTTTCTTCAGATCGATCAGTCGATCGCTCCGATTACATTGGGAAAACCAGCGATCACTGTAAATTGTGCTTTAATGTTTGGCTGGTCAACTGCATAGTATGGAAACCTTATATACCTACTAGACATGCGGATGAACCCGTTCCATACAGCTGCCATTGCACAGCTCAGACACTTTGTTGTGTGCAATTTAACACAATTGCCTCTAGGAGTCGCCAATGAATATAAAAGAAACACACACAAGAAATGCACGTACGCCAGACATGAAGTTGGCATGGACCAACGCACATTCCCACAATCATTTCATCGTTAGTAAATCCAAATGTGAGTGTGAAGCCTGGCGTACGCAAAGTTTTTGTATGTACGTAAAATTGATACATGAGGCCCCAGGTATGTAGCAGCATGTTTATCTTAGCTTAGCATAAATCATTAAATCAGATTAGGCCATTAGCATCTTGCACAAAAATGATTGTTTTTTTGATAATTTTCCTTTTTAAAGTTTGACTCTTCTGTAGTTACTGTATGTATGACTACGAAAAATTAAAAGTTGATATTTTCTAGGCAGATACAGCTAAATACGCAAAAATGAGAGAACAGTTCCTAGCCATGTTGACCTAGAAAATAGCAACTTTTCCTTTTTGGTAAATCTTGAAACAAGGTTCAAGCTTTAAACTGTAAAAATAATCTAAACTCTGGTCATTTTTGAGTATGAAGCAAACAGTTTTATCCAAATTCAATAATTTATGCTAAGATAAGCTAAAAGTTCAGCTAAATTAATTCAAAATTGGTCAATCTCAACTGTTTAACTCTAGTTGATTTGTAAAATGAGCTTATTTCCAAAAAAAAGTTGAGTGTTTCTGAGATTTTGAAGGTGTGTGTACTGACTTGGAGAAGTTTGCGAGGTTCTGGACCACTTTGGCGATGAGTGTGAGTGTTCGTGAGGTCTGCTCATCGGGATATTCCTGCGTGAGGTTGAACAGAGATGGAGACATGATGGCTGGACAGAGGAAGCGCAGGAAGAGGGAGCCGCTGATCAGTCGATCTGCAATGTCTTCTCTTCCTCTCTCAGCACAGCGGACACGCCATGATGCAAACACTTCCTTCAGCTCTCGCGGGAACGCACTGAAAACACATCAAATTAAACATTACCATTCACACTCATGAAGATTGAGAGCATCAGACAAAACTTTAAAACCCTGAATCAATATTGGAGCTACTTTTGCATGCTGGAGGAAGAACGACGCCATGGCTGAAGTATTTCTATTAGACAGGTTATGTTCTGTTTTAAAACTATTTCAGTCACACAGAGCTGATGTAGATTGTGTTGTTATGAATGGGTTATATGCACAGAAGTGTTTCAATCTCCCGGTGAAAGATTAATGTGACTATTTACAGTTTATAGAAGTTGAACATCTCCCATGGCCAGCACAGTCACCAGATCTAAATATTATTGAGCTACTTTAGGGTATTTTGGAGGAGCGAGTCAGGAAATGTTTTTCTCCACCAGCATCATGCAGTGTCCCGGCCACTATTCTGCAAGAAGAATAGCTCAAAATCCCTCTGATCACTGTAAGGACTTGTATATGTCATTCCCAAGATGACATGATGCTGTATTGGCCACAAAAGAAGGACCTACACCATACTAATGAATTATTGGGTTCTAAAACCAGGTTTTATTGTATTGTATTGTATTGTAACTCCTGTATATATTTAAATTAAATCACAAAGCAAAAACTATTAATAGGCAAAACCCATATCAAATAATTAAATAAATAAATAAGTAAATTATTTAAAATAAACAAATAAATGAATCAATAATGAGTCTCATTATATTATTTTCATCTGCACTTAATATCAGATAAAAAAAACTTATGACTATCATCAAAAGAGCCTTTTAAACTGATTTAAAAAGTAATAGAATAATACAATTAGCAGTAAAATGTAAGACAAAAACGTAAAAATAAATCAATTTTTAAACACCATTATATAGCCCTGTTGTGTGGCGCACTTAATGACACCAATCATATATAAACGTTATTTATAAATAACTGTGCAAAACAAAAGTGCCCTACTTTGATATATCAGCCTGCTTCAATGCATCCTGCAGCTTTTTTCAGGATTATTTTGCACAACTCAATCATTTTTAAACGAATGTGTTGATTCAAAATCAATAAAACTGACCAATATGAGTTGATGATTTTGCAGAGGGCGAGCTCACAGCACATCCGGAGGTTGGCTTGATGTTCGGGCAGTATTGAAGGGGGAGTTCGCATCGGGTCCACTTCACAGTTCTCCTCTGATTCATACAGCGCTCGGATAAAATCACCTGGAGGAAAAACCAGAGCATCAGCAAACAGCAAGAACAGTCACTGCAGCTCTTGAAATTATAATGGGCCCACCTAAAACATCTTTGAGGTACTTGTGTCCGATGAGTTTGAGGTACTCTTCTATGGCTTTGGTGGCCAGGGTGTTTTCTCTGAAGATCAGGTGCTCGCGGTCGATGAAGCGATCCACCTCACACATCGCCATGTCTGACAGAAAATCCTGAAGCAGAGCAAAAATAAAAAACATGCTCAATTCAGGTCAAGTTTATTTGTATAGCGCTTTTCACAATAATAATTGTTTCAAAGCAGGATTATTGCATTACAATCAAATTCTGAAAAGTTAAGGTTATTAGTTACCATAACTTTAATAGTAACTAGTAACTTTAACTCATTAACTAGTAACAGTTATTGTATATAAATATAGTTAACCTGCAGTTACAGTTGAAGTCAGAATTATTAGCCCCCCTTTGAATTGTTTTCTCTTTTTAAAATATTTCACAAATTATATTTAACAGAGCAAAGAAATTTAACAGTAAAAATTTATATTTATTTATAATAAAATAAAATAAAAGGAAAATTAACAAAACAAATAAACAAACAAAACAAACTAGACTGGGCAGGCTGTCAGGGATCAGGGCTGGAAGACAGGACAAGGCAAGATGCGACAACGAACTGGCACAGGACAGCAGACATGAGGAGAATATAAGCAGAAATAATTAACGCACAAACAGGTGAACAGGATAAACTAATAATGCGTAAACAAAGAGGGTGGGACTAGAAAATAGACAGGTGAGCACAACACGTGCATGGCCCAAGCGTGCTTGAAATAGCGCTCATACAAAAAGACACACAATGACAGAAAATGAGTGTTCGACCTGAGAAAACTCGAGCCGAGCACAACATACAACAGATGACAGGACTAGTGTCTGGACTGATACACCAAAATAAGAATTAACAAGACCAAAGTGACAGAATCCTGACATAAAAGGGTTTTAAAAACTGCTTAAATTCTAGTCGAATAAAACTATTAAGACTTTCTCCAGAAGAAAAAATATAACAGGAACACTGCAAAAAATGCTTTTCTTACTTAGATTTTTTGCTTTGTTTCTAGTCCAAATATCTAAAAGTTCCTAAATCAAGAAGAATTTTCCAGACAAGCAAAACATATTGTCTTGTTTTGAGAAATAATATGCCAATATTAAGTGAGTTTTTCCTTAAAACAAGCAAAATAATCTGCCAATGGGGTAAGCAAAATAATATTACGTCAAAAGAAAAAACAAGATTCATTTGCTTATGCCATTGGCAGATTATTTTGCTTGTTTTAAGGAAAAACCCACTTAATATTGGCATATTATTTCTCAAGACAATATGTTTTGCTTGTCTAGAAAATGCTTCTTGATTTAAGAAATTTTAGATATTTAGACTAGAAACAAAACAAAAAATCTAAGCAAGACAAGCATTTTTTGCAGTGAAATACTGTGAAAATTTCCTTGCTCTGTTAAACATAATTTGAGAATTATTTAAAAAAGAAAAAAAAAATTCAAATGAGGGCTAATTGTTTTGACTTAAACTGTATATTAGAACTTATTAAAAAGTCAAAGACAGCTGTACCTTGGCCTTCCCTGTGCTCTGTAGGATGTGCACCAGAGCACAGGCCACTTCTTCTTTGCTCTTGACACTCAGCAGTGGCTCCAGGACCGCACACAGCGTCCGGTAGTTGTTTGTGACGTACTCTGCGAACTCTTTATACAGTTCCATCGGCAGGATGCTCATGGTCTGAAAGCGTGACTTGAGCCGCAGCGAGGCATTGATGATCTTCCCTCCTCCGACGCCGCCACCCTTGGCCAGAACACTGGGCTGAATGACGGGGTACCATTGCTCCACAAACTGACGGCCAGTGATGCTGGAAATGGGAATGCTGACCAAGCCAAGGTACGTGCTCTTCTCCTGTTACAATGAAGACACAAATCATCGTTAGTTGCCTTAAAATAACAGGATGCACTAAATGGTTCTTCTAAGAAAAGTGCTTGACGATTTGTTATCATTTATTTATGCATTTTTGTATCCTGTTCCTGCAGTTTTGTATTCCTTTTGCATATTATAAGCTGCTTGGTTCATGTTAACTGTGAGCATATACACTGCCCGGTCACTTTATTAGGAACACCTTACTAGAACTGGGTTCCTTTTGCCTTCAGAACTGCCTTAATCCTTCGTGGCAAAGATTCAACAAGGTACTGGAAATATTCCTTAAAGATTTTTTTTTCCATATTGACATGATAGCATCACGCGGTTGCTGCAGATTTGTCGGCTGCACATCCGTGATGCAAATCTCCCGTTCTACCACATCCTAAAGTTGCTCTATTGGATTAAAATCTGGTGACTGTGGAGGCCATTTGAGTACAGTGAACTCATTGTCATGTTCAAGAAACCAGTCTAAGATTAATCGTGTTTTATTACATGGAACGTTATCCTGCTGGAAGTAGCCATCAGAGGATGGGTACACTGTGGTCATAAAGGGATGGACATGGCCAACAACAAATCTCAGGTAGGCTGTGGGGTTGACACAATTGGCACTAATGGCCCCAAAGTGTGCCAAGAAAATATCTCTTACACCATGTTGTTGATGCCAAATTCTGACCCTGCAATCCGCAGCAGAAATCGAGACTCATCAGACCAGGCAACGTTTTTCCAATCTTCTATTGTCGTATTTTGGTGTGCCTCTGCGAATTGTAGCCACAGTTTCCTGTTCTTAGCTGACAGGAGTGGCACCCGGTGTGGTCTTTTGCTGCTATAGCCCACCCCCCTCAAGGTTGGACATGTAGTGTGTTCAGAGGTGCTCTTCTGCATACATCGGTTGGAACGAGTGCTTATTTGAGTTAATGTTACCTTTCTATTAGCTCGAACCAGTCTGGCCATTCTCCTCTGACCTCTGGCATCAACAAGGCACCACAGAACTGCCACTCACTGGATATTTTCTCTTTATCAGACCATTCTCTGTAAACCTTAGAGATGGTTGTGCTTAAAAACCCCAGTAGATCAGCAGTTTCTGGCAACAACCATGCCACATTGAAAGTCACTTAAATCGCCTTTCTTCCCCATTCTGATGCTCAGTTTGAACTGCAGCAGATTGTCTTGACCATGGCTGCGTCCGAAACCACATATTTCCATACTATATAGTATGCAAATTCAGTATGTGAGCCGAGTAGTATGTCCAAATTCATAGAATTCGAAAATCAGTATGCGAGAAGTACCCGGATAATTTACTACTTCCGGCGAGATTCTGGAGTGTGTATTCCATGCACACTGCGCTATCCCATGATGCCCCGCGAGAGAATTCATGAATGGGAGTGAAGTGACGCAACTGACGTAGGTAGGTTCGGTGACCATGACAAAATGGCGGATGTAGTACGTCTGAATTCCATTCATACTTTTCACTTCTATACATTTTGTATAGAACGTAATTTTCTAACGACGATTCAAACGCAGAACCTACTGAGTAGTAGGCGGTTTCAGATGCAGCCCATGTCTACATGCCTAAATGCACTGCGTTGCTTCCATGTGATTGGCTGATTAGAAAATTTGCGTTAACGAGCAGTTGGACCTAATAAAGTGGCCTGTAAGTGTATATACATGGTATTTTCTATTTAGCATAGACTAAATAATATAAGACAGCCACCAAACAGCAGCCTTAAAGAATTAATCTTGAGTTGAATATTTTACCTTGCGTCTCTTCTTGTCCGTCTCTTTGTACAGATGAAGGCGGAGGTTGCGGACAGCAGGCAGGTTGTTGAACTCAAAGTGCTCACCCCAGAAGACAGTGTCGGTACGGGGTTTGCTGGTGGTGCGAGCGTACAGCATGTCATCCAAGCACAGTTCACAATAATAGCGCTTTTTGGGTGGGAGCTCACGGGCCTCAATGATCCACAGCTTCAGGACGTTGTCGACACGCCGACTGTTGTCCTTTTAATGACAAAGAGAGATGGTAAACAGCAGAATCATATGTGCACTGTATACTGTATGTACTACTGTATAGAGCTTTGCAGTGACAATGCACCACTGTTCATATTTTATGGCACACTGTAAAAGGCGATTAGTTACTTTATAAGTAGCTCAGTGGTTAGCACTGTTGCCTCACAACAAAAAGGTCGCTGGTTCGATTTCCAGTTGGCATTTCTGTGTGGAGTTGGCATGTTCTCCCTGTGTTGGTGTGGGTTTCCTTCGGGTGCTCCGGTTTCCTCCACAGTCTAAAGACATGAGCTACAGGTGAATTGGATGAACTGAATTAGCCATAGTGTATGAGGGTGTGTGTGAATGTGAGAGTGTATGGGTGTTTCCCAGTGCTGAGCTGCAGCTTGAAGGGTATCCACTGCATAAAACATATGCCAGAATAGTTATCGGTTCATTTCGTTGTGACTAAGCTGAAGGAAAATGAATGAATGAATGAGTTTGTTTACTTAATAATTATAAAGAAACAAGTTAACTCTTTAAGTAAAGTCAACTAATCGCTTCTTACAGTGTAATCTGCAATTTTTACAAGCAAACTGACCAAGGTAGAAAACTATAAACATGTAAAATCTGAGTAAATAAATAAGGTGTTTACTTGCTTAATCATGAGCTGAACGATCAGAGGGATGAAAGTTTGATTAAAAGTAGAGGAAAGTAGCACAACTGCACTTTAAAGGTATGCAATATGTGATATGACACGATGCATAAATGTAAAGCTGGGCCGATAAACAGTATTATATTGAATCAGGACAAAATTTATGTCAATAACAATGATAAGCTCTGAAATTTTTTACTCTATAATGATCTAAGAGTGTTTCCTAGGGATAGATTGCAGCTTGAAGGGCATCTGCTGCGTAAAAAACTTGGATAAATTGGCGGTTCATTCCGCTGTGGGGACCCCAGATTAATAAAGGGACTAAGCCGACAAGAAAATGAATGAATGATTGAATGAATGATAGCCAGTCACACAGCAGAAATGCAACAATGGGAATCTATAAATAATACATATTTATATGTTGATATTAGAGAAAAATCAAATTTTTTGCCACCGAAAATTTATTGGTCGAAAATCTTAAGCCATTTTATGGACACTCAAATGTTTGTGGTTTCAATCATTGTTGGAATACTCTTTTAAATCTGGAAGCATTAACAACTTATATTGAAATATATATCATTGTCGTTCAATATGGAAAATAATTGTCAGGATTGCATTTTTGGCATATCGCCCAGCTCTACATAAATGTGCATTCAACACTTATATTTTCAGAAGTTGATATATAGTTGCGGTCAGAATTATTAGCCCTCCCTGTATTTTTCCCCAATTTCTGTTTAATGGTTTTCAACACATTTCTAAACATAATAGTTTTAATAACTCATTTCTAATAACTGATTTATTTGTATCATTGCCATGATGACAGCATATAATTAAAGACTTAAGTAGGTTGATAAATTTAAAGTTAGGGTAATTCGGCAGGTCATTGTATAACGACGGTTTGTTCTGTAGAATATCCAAAAATAATATTGCTTAAGGAGGCTGATAATTTTTACCCCAAAATGTTTTGTTTAAGGAATAAAAATGCTTTAATTCTATCAGAAATAAAACAAATGAGACTTTCTAGAAGAAAAAATATTATAGGAAATACTGTGAAAATTTCCTTCCTCTGTTAAACATCATTTGGAAAATAATTGAAAATGTAAGAAAAATCACAGGAAGGCTAATAATTCTGACTTCAACTGTATGTGTGATGTCTTATTATAAACCTACATGTCTCTGTTGTCTCATTACAAACCTATGCCGCAAATTACGCAATATACATATTAAACTAACAAATGATACAGTTTTCTTTGGGGTGGCCTTTAATTAATTTGTAATCAGTACACTGCAAATTTTGCACTGTGAACACTCCGTGGTCATGACTGTCTGTTCTGCTTTATACAACCTTACATAAACTTAAAAATAGAGGTGAAAAAATAATTGTTGTAGTCGCACTAGGAAATGTTGTCGTCAAACAAACGCTGCCCAAAATGTGCATATCAATGATCACATTTGAATTTGTTAGAGTCTGTTTTGTTCCTATTGGCCATTATTCACTAGAATTTTACACTTGGTACAATAGTGTTTGAGACTTAGGGTATATCCTTTCCATGTACTGAATATTTATTATTAATCTATGCCAAGGAATACACAGATTTTCATTCTATTCTATTTAATCAAACAGACTACATGCATTAGCGTATGCTACATAAACATACCTGCTCAAAACAAAATACAGGTGGCATTTACAGCAGGGAAAATAGGTATTGAACACGCCACCATTTTTCTCAGATAACATATTTCTAAAGGTGCTGTTGACTTGAAATTTTCAACTGATTTTGTTAGCAACCAAAAAAATCTATATATGCAAAGAAAACAGAACTAATTAGTTTACAAATTAAGTTATGCATAATAAAATTAAATAACAAAGTAAAAAAGTATTGAACATATGAAGAAAAGAAGGCGTAGAAAGGCAGTAAAAGACCAGACAACAGCTGAAATCTCTCAGTAGTTCTTCAGCAGCCCTCTGCCCTTCCTCATTGTAAATTAACATCAGCTGCTTCAATCCTACATCTACATTATCAGAATGATGAAGATGAAACCAGGGTGGACATTTCAGCAAAACAATGACTTGTTCAATATTAATATAAATATATATTCTTATTTTTCCGACTTTATGTAGCATAATTTCAAAAAGCGAAAGTCAGATTACTATGTTTTTACTTGATATATTATATTTTGAAGTTATGCAATCTAATTTAAAATACAGATGGTGTTTACTAGGGATGTAACGGTATCAGAATTTAACGGTACGGTAATACCTCGGTATGAATGGCACGGTACGGTATTTATTGAATAATTTACAGGAAAAACAAAACTAATGAAAAGACTCGAAAAAAGTGCCAAAAGTGTTTATTTACCTTAGCACTGAACATATCAATGACATAAAAATTAGCCATCTATCTGTAAGTTTCGAAACAGGAACTTCAATTTTTCCAATTTTAATTACTAAAAACTATTAAACCATATAAAAAAAAAATAAAGTTTCAATTAAGTATTGTTGAAAAATCAATCCCATTCAACATTTAATAACTCCCTCACTTAAAAAGAGATGGGTTTTTAAGGAAAATTATCATATAACTATAATCTGGTAAAAGCTGGGATCTCTGGGCATGTCCCCTGCAACAGAAAAAAACCCTCTCATTTGGGACTGAGGTTTCTGGGACAGAGAGATATGATTTAGCCAAGGTTGACAGCAGTGGGTAACGTAGTGCATTGTCTTTACACCACTTGAGAGGACAAGCCATGAGTGAGATAGAGGTTTCTTTGCGGTACAAGTCAATGTCTGCATCAATCTAAAAAGTGTGCTGTATTCTGCAGTCCCCATGACTGTTTTTAGTCGTATTCCACGACTTATATTTCACCACAGTCTGGCAGTGCCTGCATATTGTTTTTGTCTTTGTCTTTCACCTTTTCTCCTTTTTCGTATCTTTTTAAAAAGAAACCGAAATGCTTCCACACATCCGATTTAAAACCCGCTTTAGGTTCGATCATTTCCAGCTCTTTTTCTTCCCCGCTACTAGCAACACACTCCATTTCCGCATTACTGGATCTGTAGTGATAGTAATAGTTATAGTTATGGAGTCATGCGCCTACGGTAATATTGAAAAAAATTACTATTGAGGTATGATGGTATTTACAATATTGTTACATCCTTAGTGTTTACAGAATACCAGGATAACAGTGTGTCCTTGGTTTGTATTTTAAACAAAGAAGCTGCGCTAGTGTCAGCATTACACAAGGCCATCTAAAAAGAACTATTAAAACATTTCTGAAGATGTGATTTCCATTGATCGACACCTTTATTAAACCTCAGACAACTGTATTTATTCATTTGCTTTGAATATTTTAAATATCATAAACTGAGCTGCTCTGACTGTCACAGGCACCGATTTATGTGAAGTATGAAAGGAACGAAGGTCATCATTAGTTATATTTGTTAAATTTGTAAAGTTAATGTAAAACATCGTATGTTTGTCAGTGTCTGCTCTATCATTTCTGCATGTCAATCAATGCATCTTTACTTTGCAGTACTTCAGATGTGTCATCAAACAAGCGGACAGACAGGAGAGACTGTAAGTTTGAGGGTGGCGATGCTTTAGAAAGGATAATGATCTGAATTACCGTTAGTCAAACTCCTACTGTGTGTCTGAAGTGCTGGAGAGAGAATGATGAGTCATTTAAACACATGAAAATGCCACAGGAACATTCATTTTCTGCTGGCATTTATAGAGCCACTAAAATGGACCCTTAAAACAGATTTCCGGTCCTTTCATTGAACACTACGGTAATAATTATGTGCTTTTTATATAACCTTTTACATAAACATGAACATATTTAGCTACAAATGCATCTAATGTTAAATATGTTAAATAATTATAATTAATTACATTAATCTAGTTACTAATATGCATATTGCATACTGATAAAAAAAATCTAGCTTACATGCTATTAAGTGCTTGGAATATTCTATAAAACGTTTGTACAGACATGTTGATGGTTTCACATATTCACATATTTGTTGGTTATGATAAAACTTGCAGTCTTAGATATCTATTATGAATACACCTTTCCAGTTTTCCCATACTCCATCTGCACACTGTAAAAAAAACCCAGTTTACTTAAAAAAGTGAGAAACTTGGAACTGTTGAGCCGACTCAACTTAATTTTTATAATTATGAGCATTTACTTAATAATTTTGAGGCAACATGTTTTCAAATTTTTGGATCGCATTCATGCGCAATAAGGCGTAAGAGTTGTTTGGCATGACTTGTTGCTATTTTCAGACCAGCACAAGCGTAATTTTCACATTTTGCGGGACAATGTTTAAATAGCAAATCCATTTGTGCCACTTTGTGGACTCATGGGTGTGCTGGTCTATAAATAAGGTGTGTTAAGGCGCATTGTTGACGCGTTGCAATTTTGAGGAACTGAAATAGACCGCGCCATTGACCAACTAAAAGCTGGTCAAAAGTCCAGCACAGAGTGCGTTAGTTATGGTCAAAAATGCTTACACATTGCTTAATACACACAGGATGTATAGCAACACACAAATATCTTTACATATGAAAAATATCAGGATTAAAATGTTACAATTATTATTATTTGCCACTGCCTCCATGCTTTCTTCATCTCAAGGTTTTTTTTTTTCAGTTTATTCATGACAATTTGCTGTTGTATAATGTTATTACTATTAGTGTTATTTTTTATTATATGCATATTTATTTTTGTTTAAATAAAAACAAGTTTAGACTTGTCCACCTGTCGGGTTTTGGATACATATGTATCACCATGTGGAATAGGACGTGTGATTGGATATAACTCTGGTTATGGTTTTTTTGATCACACTTGGTTATTGTTCATTTATTTGTTTGATGGAAATTAGAACTGAATTTAAAAATAGTTCTGAAACAAATCTTTGTGCTTAAAAAAAATTAAATATCTAGGTTAATGGATGTCTTCAGTGGAATGTCTACAACACCAGTTCCTTATCGACAAAAGTAAAGGAGTAAAATAAAGAGTAAAAGTAAAGAGGTAGAATGCAGAAGGCTCATTGTTTATCCTCGAGCAGATGGTCTGTTTAACTGTTTTCTCGCTCGTGAAACAATCAGTTTTTCCATTCAGTTTTTTCACCAACAAAGCATATCAATAGCAAATGCTCCATGACGCAACGCAACTGGCTCTTAAAGGGAATGGGAGATGAGACTCTGATTGGTTTAATGCATGTATGCTCAAAGCACACCCATCACTCATTAAGCCTAGTTTACACTACAGGATTTTCGGCATCGGCAGATCGCTGTGCTGTTCACACTACATGACTTGATTTGGTGTCTTTTAATCTCTGTGCAGTACGTAAATGATCCACAAGAGGGGGGTCACACACTACATGATCTGACAACAATTCGTTCCCCAACAGCTCATTCAAGCTACCAAACCACAGCCAATGAAATTTTGAGGGAGTTGTCATCGGAAAAAGCTGAACACCATTGGCTACTTGTGTGCTGATTACATCACTAACAGCATTTCAAGCTTTCAAGGGAGCATTTAAAAACATCGTCAATCAGCTGAGCGAATCAATTGCTCATCTGCAAGGTTCAAGTGGATAGACACACAAAGAGTTTTTAATTTTTTTAATTTAATGACTCTTTGAAATAAAACTAACATATCTATAATACCCTGGTGTTTTCTAAATATCTGTGAAAACCGTAATTTTCCATCCTAAAATTAGCAAAAGTGGAATCGGACTTTTTTTGCTCCATGTGCTTTACACTTTGCACTTAGATCGTTACAATAGATCCGTTTAAGTCAATTCAACTTATCACTTTAAAGGCAATTAGTTTACATACTTTTTAAAAGTCAACTAATTGCTTTTTTACAGAGCAACTAGACTAAAAAACCTTGTGCTGCTTGTTCAAACTACTTATTTAAAATGAGCACAAACAGCACAACTCTTGTTTTTTTTTTGTTTTTTGTTTTTTTGGGTGGGGGGTTGGTGACGACAGCTTTTATTGCTTTATGTTTAGTCAATTTAAAATTTCAAAAACCATTAAGCTACCTTAATAGTTTTGCATTTGGATGGCATTAAGGGATTGTGTGGAACCCTTGTTTTTTACAGTGTGTGTAAAACCTACAGTGAATCTTAAACCCCCTTTTTTCAGTAAGTGAATGCCTCATTTTTCCGCAATAAAATAATCAGTGATTCAGATCTTTGACTTCAGAAACTTCTTCAAGTAATCAGCTAATAAACCAATCAAATGAACACCCTTAGTCTGTCCTCATTTATTGTAATTTTGACAACGCATCTGTGGGCTGATCATTTTTAGACGCTTGTGTCATGTTCTCCACGCAACATGATTCAGCCCAAACTCCTGCTGACTGAACATCTGGACGAGTCAATCCACACCGCTCATTTTTAAATATTGTCAAATAAATCCTTCAAAAAAAGAAGAGGAGCATTGCAACGTCAGCCTGGAACTTACAGCTAATATAACCTAACCTCACATAAGCAGTTTTAACATTATGCATTATGAGGAAAACACATTATTAGGACTCATTGGGACAGATTTACTAACAGTATATATATTTTTTTTACATTAAATGGTGCTGTTGGAATTTACCAAAAATGCAAAAAGAAGAATTTGTGCTGAAAAGGCTATTTTTGTGCCTGATCTTGTTGAATATACAGTATATATGTATAGACTTTCCATCTTACTTTCCTAAACACGATAAGTGTACAGAGTCATTTACCCAAAGTCGCAAGGGTGATTTCAGTTGACACAAGGCAGATAAGTTAAAATTCATCTAGTTAAAAGTGATTCTACCACTGATATAATATTCTACCACTAATTAGAGACATTTTTTTTAAGGTCAAAGTCTTAAATAGTGCTGCTTTAAGAATAATCTAGTTAAGAGTGTGCATGTAAACGCACTGGTTATGTGTCAGAACAGCACATGGCAGCTGTTTCAAGTTCATCCGACAAATACCAGTAGAGGGTAAAATGTGTGTCAAGATGGAAATGGCAGGGGAGGTTGTTACTGAAGCAGACTGATGCAGTCAGGGTTGAAGAGGAAAGAGAAATGCAGAGTTCCTTCTCTCTTTTCTTCATTGCACTCACTTTGTTGGGTTTGACAGCTCTCTGTAGATTCTCGATCCATTTGTCTCGCTCCGCAGCCGACCGACAGGCAAAACACTTTGTTCCTGAAGCAGTTATCACCTAAAGTAAGGAATAATGAGTTTCACAGTTTCAGCCATCAGCGTAATTATAATAATAAGAAAGAGCAACAAAATTCCACAGGGCACCGGAGCCAATACAGTCATGCATTAATTGCTTCAAGATGAAATGTGTGATTTTTTTTGTGCCAATAGTGGCACCAGTTCAGTCCCTGAATCTGAGATGAATGGATATAATGATGGATGGATAGATAGATGGAAAGCTGGACTGATCAACAAAATGATGAATAGATGGATTTAGAAAGAAAGATAGACGGATGGAGTTATGGTATGATTTAACAATTAGAAATATATGGATAGATGGATGGATAGATGGATGGATGGATGGATGGACATAATAATGGATGGATGGATGGATGGATGGACATAATAAAGGATGGATGGATGGATAGATGGATGGATGGATGGATGGATGGATGAATGAATGGATGGACATAATAATGGATGGATGGATGGATGGACTGACGGACATAATGAATGGATGGATGGATGGATGTATGGATGGACATAATGGATGGATGGATGGATGGATGGATAAATGGATGGATGGATGGATGGACATAATAATGGATGTCTGGATGGATGAATGAATGGACATAATAATGGATGGAAGGATTGACATAATGATGGATGGATGGACAGATGGATGGATAGATGGATGGACATATGGGATGGATGGATGGATGGATGGATGGATGAATGGATGGATGGATGGATGGATGGATGAATGGATGGATGGATGGATGGATGGATGGATGGATGGATGGACATAATTATTGATGTCTGGATGGATGGATGAATGGACATAATAAGGGATGTCTGGATGGATGAATGAATGGACAATAATGGATGGATGAATAGACATAATGATGGATGGATGGATGGATGGATGGATGGATGGATGAATGGACATAGTAAGGGGTGTATAGATGAATGGACATAATAATGGATGGATGGATGGACATAATAAGGGATGTCTGGATGGCTGGATGGATAGATGAATGGACAACAATGGATGGATAGTTGGATACACAGACTAAAACACAGTTAGTTGGATACGCAGATATAACGGATGATTTTTACAATAGAAGAAGGCTGGATGAATGGATAAACGTAAGAATTAATGGCTGGATGGATGGATATAATGATGGATGGATATAATGATGAAATATAGATTAAAAGATATATGGACAGATGGATGGACAGATGGATAGATGGATGGATGTATATTACATTGAAAGACAAAGATGAATTAATATTAAAATGGAAAAAGGATGGATGGATCAATGCATAGATTGAAAGATTAATGGATTGATGTAATGATGGATATAATTAGGAAAAGATAGATAAAAAGAATTTTGGACAAACTGATGGATGGATGTACAGATGAATGAATGGATATAAAAATTAATGGATCAATGGATTATTATAATTATAGATATTGTTTTGAAAAGATGGAAAAAATGATAGGCAAATGGATATATGTATGTATGGGTGGATGGATACATGAATGGAGGTTACAATGAAAGAGAGATGGATGGATATAACAATTAATGGATTAATGGAATCATATAATGAAAGATATTGTTATGAAAAGATACAGTTGAAACAGTTGAAGTGAGAATTATTAACCCCCCTTTGAATTTCTTTTTCTTTTTTAAATATTTCCAAAATGATGTTTAACAGAGGGAAATTTTCACAGTATGTCAGATAATATTTTTTTCTTCTGGAGAAAGTCTTACTTGTTTTATTTTGACTAGAATAAAAGCAGTTTAAAATTTTTTAAAAACCATTTTAGGGTCAAAATGATTAGCCCCTTTAAGTTATAATTTTTTGGTGGTCTACAGAACAGCCTAATTACCCTAATCCGCCTAGTTACTCTAATTAACCCAGTTAAGCCTTTAAATGTCACTTTAAGCTGTATAGAAGTGTCTTGAAAAATATCTAGTCAAATATTATTTACTGTCATCATGGCAAAGATAAAATAAATCAGTTATTATAGATGAGTTACTATTATGTTTAGAAATGTGTTGAAAAAAAATCTGCTCTTCATTAAACAGAAATTGTGGAAAAAATAAACAGGGGGGGGGAGCTAATAATTCTGACTTCAACTGTATGTATGTATGTATGTATATATGGATGTATGTATGGATAAATGGATGGATAAATGGATAGATGGATGGATATCACAACAGAAGAATAATGAATGGGTGATGAATGATAGATGGAAAATTAATGGATTGATAAAAGTATGGATATGATTATAAAAATGATAAAACAACTAATATGGACAGATGAATGAATGGATGGATGGATTCAATGACGATGGGAAGATGGATGGATAAGTGGACGGATGGAATTTACAATGGTGGAAGGATGGATGGATAAATGATGAATAGAAGCATGGATGGATGGATATAATGAAGAATAGAGGAATAACAATATATATGGACTGATGGAAGGAAGGATGGAAGGAAGGATGGATGGATGGAAATAAAAATCAATAGATTAATGGATTAATATAATGATGGATATTGTTAAAAAATAGCTTCAAATTATAGAAAAATAAAAAGATGTATGTATGTGTGGATGGATGGATAGATGGATGGATGGACATTACAATGTAAAACAGCAATGGATGGATGAATGGATGGATGGATGGATGGATGGATGGATGGATGGATGGATAGATGGATTTTACAATGGGAGAAATATAAATGAATGATGGATGGATAGAAAAATTAGTGATTGATACAATTATGGATATAACTATAAAAGATGGATAAAAACTAATTTGGATAAATGAATAGATGGATGGATTTTACGATAATGGAAAGATGGATGGATAAATGAATGGATGGATTTGATGATGGTGGAAGGACGGATTGATAAATGGACAGATGGAACGCTGAATGGACGGATATGATGATGAATAGGAGGATAACAAAACATATGGACTGATGGATGGAAGAATAGACGGACAGATTCTAAATGTCACCTCGAAACAGTACTCCTGTCCCAATATACTGGAGTGAACAGGCTTGATGATGGCGTCTTCATCAAGTGTCAAATCCAAGGCCTCGGCTGCGCTGCTGGGAGACAGCAAAGACTCATGGGAGTGTGATTCTTTGAAGCTCTGCATCAGACGAGTCCTGTGAGGGAGCAATAACAGCATGTCTGAGAGAGACCGAGCTCACAGGTCCACTTACATCACACGCCTACATGACGAGGTCAGGATTTCATTTCATTTTACACAACACTGTTTCTCTGGAAGGTTTTTCACTGGGCTTTAGACTTCAGCCTTTTCTAGAAGAATCGAGGGTTTGAATTATGTTTCCACCAGTTTTCTGTAGGTGGAAGAATATATATATATACACAGTTTGGACAAGTTGGACTTTACAGCCGTATTCCAAAACGGACTCAAAATTGTACACACAATACCTCATAATGACAATGCGAAAAATTATTTTAAGTTAACATTTTTAAAAAATTAAAATCCTGAAACATGTACTTAAGTATTCATAGCCTTTGCTGTGAAGCTCTAAATTGAGCTCAGGTACATTCTGTTCCCACTGATCTTTCTTGAGATGTTTCAGCAGCTTAATTGTAGTTCACTTGTGGTAAAATCAGTTGATTGCACATGATTTTAAAAGGTATACACCTGTCTATATAAGGTCCCAGGGTTGACAGTGCATGTCAAAGCACAAACCAAGCATAAAGACAAAGGAATTGTCTATAGACCTCCGAGACAGGGTTGGAAGGCTGAGGACGGTTACAGAAAAAGTTCTGTTGCTCTGAAAGTTCCAGTGAGTACAGTGGCCTCCATCATCCACAAGTGGGAGATGTTTGAAACAACCAGGACTCTTCCTAGAGCTGGCTGGCCATCTAAGCTGAGTGATTGGGGGAGAAGGGCCTTAGTCAGGGAAGTGATCAATAACTTGATGGTCACTCTGTCTGAGTTACAGCGTTCTTCTGTGGAGAGAGGAGAAACTTACAGAAGGACAATAATCTGTGCAGCAATCCACTATTCAGGCCAAAAAAAAAAAAAAAAAATCTCTGGTCTGATGAGAATAAAATTGAACTCTTTGGAGTGAATGCCAGGCGTTACATTTGTTTGTTTGTTTGTTTGTATACCTTACTGTCCCTCAGGGAAAATTTTCTGTGGACTCACACAGCACTTCAGCAAGTTCTGACACAATGACAATTAAAAATTAGCCAACATGCCAAAGAATTACATACATTATCGATTAACAAAGTTTCGAGCAAAGGCTGTGAATACTGATAAACGTGATTTTTCAGCTTTTTTATTTTAAATGAATTAGCAACAATTAAAAAAAATCCCATTGTCATTATGGGATATTGTGTGTAGAACTTTGAGGAAATAAATGAATTAAATCCATTTTGGAATAACGCTTTAACATAAAAAATGTGGAAAAAGTAAAGCGATATGAACACTTTTCGGATGCACTGCATATACGATTATGTTGTCAAACTGTTGTATAAATGCAATATCACACTCGTAGCAGTGTGATATGGCTGTATATCATCATTGGTGGCGCACCAAGGCACACGGTCTGTGGCTTTGAGCCAACGCACGCTATATATATATATATATATATATATATATAAATTTCATATAATTTTGACTTTGACTTTTGTTGTTTAAGGAAAGAACACATTTTTAAACAATAATCTTAATACCTAATTTCTAAGAACTAATTTATTTTATATTTGCCACGGTCAAAGAATCATAACATGAAGGGCTAATAAATTGACTTCAACTGTTCAATAAAATTGTTTTTGCCAAGTTGGCATAAGCATCAATGAAAATAAACATATATATATATAAATATACATACATATATATATATATATATATATATATATATATATATATATATATATATATATATATATATAATGAAATGTACAAAAAAAAAATTTTTAGCTGACAAAAAAGGTATTTGTGTGTTTGATTAAACAATTCTCAGTAAACTTTTATCCATTTAAATAATATGCAATAACAGAATTTAAGGTACAGTTTAGTTTCTTAAAAAGATTTAGGTAAAAAATATTTTATATTATTGTATCATCCATTCATCTATCCACATTCCATGCCAATTACTTCTGAGTATTAGTAAACTGTCTGCTTAATATCTGCTGATACTGCTCCTTCAACACATTTTCAACAGACTATAAGAAATTGTGCAAGTACATGTCAACTCACACTAACCCCAACCCTAACCCAAAATTCTACTTATAATCTGTTGAGACTTAGTTGGCATGTAGATGCAATATAACTTCATTCATTTATTTTCTTATCGGCTTAGTCCCTTTATTAATCCGGGGTCGCCACAGCGGAATGAACCGCCAACTTATCCAGCAAGTTATTACGCAGCGGATGCCCTTCCAGCCGCAACCCATCTCTTGGAAACATCCACACACACATTCACACACACACTCATACACTACGGACAATTTAGCCTACCCAATTCACCTGTACCGCATGTCTTTGGACTGTAGAGGAAACCGGAGCACCCAAAGGAAACCCACGCGAAGGCAGGGAGAACATGCAAACTCCACACAGAAATGCCAACTGAGCCAAGGTTCGAACCTGCGACAGCACTACCTACTGCGCCACTGCCTTGCCTGCAATGTAACTTATATTCAACAAATGTGTTAAAGGGACCATCAAAATAAAGTGATTTCAAATAATCTAAAACGAGCCGAGAGTTGTTGTTATTGTGCCTAAAAGACAGAAAATGATTAAATAAACATTCTGAAGTTAATCATGATGAATTTCAATAACTGCACTGTAGTTAATTAACAAATAAAATTGAAGTTAAAAATACATATCTATAAAAAAAGCTTTTTAACATAAACTTGGTTAAATTAACCCTGATACACGATCTTAAAAGTCAAAGGTGTCCCTGCATGCATAAGTGAAAGAGCTTCTAATCACTCTCAGCACGAAAACAAGCACATTTACTTCACAAAACAACACACACCTTTCCCTCAGTGTACCTGCAAACACCCCCACACACACACTCACATCGCAGTTTAGACACGCAAAACCCTTCAAACAGCTGAAGAGAAGATTGACAAGCCTATTGAGAAGTGCGATTACATAAATATCAAGAGAAAAAAAAAGCATGATAAAGCGTTCGATCCCTACTAGTGATGTGTGGCTTCCCCTGTGTCTTCAGAGAATCACTGTACATGTATACATACAACCTCGCAGCATTAGCTACATACAGTGGAGGAGAGAGAGAGAGAGATGGAGGGTATAAAAATAGACCCACAGGAGTGAGTCAGAATGAAAGAAATGATAGAGCGAGTGGAGGAGGGAGAGAGAGAGAGAGAGAGAGAGAGAGAGAGAGAGAGAGAGAGTGAGAGAATAGTGAGACAGCCAGAGTCTTCTCAGAGGAAATCAAAACGTTATGTAAACTGAAGGAACTGAAAGGAGGAAGACAAAGACAGACGTATACAGAGAACGAGGGACAGAGACGGAGTGGTAATAAGAAGACAACTAGACTCATGCACTGTAAAAACTATCTGTAAATTGACAGTTTCTTTAAATTCACATTCGTTAATTTTCCTTCGGCTTAGTTCTTTATTTATCGTTGGTTGCCACAGCGAAATGAACCACCAACTATTCCGGCAAATCTTTTTACACAGCGGATGCTCTTCCAGCTGCAAGCCAGTACTGGGAAACACCCATACACTGAAAAAAAATGATTCAAAGATGATTCATTGGATTTACAAAGTTAAATAGTTGTAAACAATTCATTTGGGCTGAATGTAAACAAACTAATGAAGTTGAACATTACTAAACTTAATTTGTTTGTTTAAATTCAACCCATATAAATTGTTTGTAACATTTTTGCAGACATCATTTTTTTTTAGTGTACACTCTCACATTTACACACAACCCATATACACTACGGCCAATTACATTTATTCAATTCACCTATAGAGCATATCTTTGGACTGTGGAGGAAACCGGAGCACCAGGAGGAAACACACGTGCACACAGGGAGAACATGCAAACTCCACACAGAAATGCCAAATGACCCAACCGGGACTCGAACCAGCGACCTTCTTGCTGCGAGGCCACAGTGTTAACCACTGAGCCACCTTGCTGCCAGATTTCCATATATATTATTCACTTTTATACGCTTTTGTTGACATTGACTTGTTTGAAGTAATATATTGGGTCTGGTTTGGTGTTGTAAATGATGGTACAAAAACATGGTCATAAGCTACCAGTACATTTTCTGTTATTTTTACAAACTTGTCAATAATACATCAATAAAAGTCAATAAAAATCTATAAAAATGTCAATATAAATCACGTTGTTGATTTGAATTGATTTGAAACTGAATCTGTCAGTTTAAAACTAGATTAAAGACATAAAAGCTTTTGAAATCCAAATCCTGTAAAGGATTGTTAGTCTGCATTATGCAAACGGAGCTGGGAACACTTGCCAAAATACATTATAATTTGAACGGCATCTGTGCTTATATTAGTCTGTTTTTATTATTCCCAAGGTTTCCATAATCCTGGACCAGGCCGTATCCTGAGCAGCTGCTGTAGCGGTCGTGGAGGAGTGGAGAGCATTAGACTGATTCCTGAAAGACCCGAGTAACAGACGAGTCTTCGCATTGATCTTGATAGACCAGCCTTTACACCCGCCGGTGACCTGCTCATACCTGCAGCTTCTCCACAACCTCATAAAAAACTCAATGTTACGAAACACCAATATAGTGCGGCTAAATATCAACTTCAATATATAAATGGCCCTGGGAATGAGTGAGTGAGTAAATAAGTAAGTAAGTATTATTTGTCTTATTTTATTTGTATTTTTTATATTATTATTATTTTTTAATTCCCTCATTTGTAAGGGGATTAAATTGTTGGCAAAGGGGTTGTTCTGTAAAAAACTATATCGAAAAATCGAAACGCACCAAAATATATTATCCCTGAAAAGAGTTTATGATGGCAGTACTCTTTATTTATTTATTTATTGTGTTATTGTTCTTATTTTATTGTTAATTTTTATATTAGCATTTTTATTTCCTCATATGTAAGGGCTTAAATTGTTGGGGAAGAAGTTGTTCTATAAAAAAAAAAAAAAAATATATATATATAT